AGAGCTATAATTGTGTTGGAATTTTTACAGTTTTAATTACTAAATTGGGTGTTTTTCATATTAACTTTGCACAAACTTACTGGACTTAGTAGACTTTTAGTATCACAGCCATGATTTAGCCTTTGTTTTTCATTGATCTGTATCAAATTAAATTTAAATATACCATATCGAATCAAAAATGCGCTGTATCAAAAAATGTATAGTATCGTGGTCTATGTATTGAGGTATGTATCGTATCGGCAACTTCTTAATGATACTCAGCCCTAGTTAGCACATGTCAAGTCCCTTTAGTAGGATAAGATAATATAACAATAAACTACACCAGTATAGCCTCTTTTTTTACAGTTTGCTTTGGGCGAATCTGGTCGATTTACAGTACTTAAAGACCCAATACCAGATTTTGCTCATGTCTTTGAGGAAAATTTGTCTTCCCCCAGTACGTCTATATTGAGTTCAAAATAGCCCTCTGTTTGCTGTCTGCATCTAATTAGAAGGCTTTTTTTTAATTTGATTTTTATTTATTTCATTCATAAAGCATAAAACACACAAGAAATGAATGAAAAGGAGCAGAAAGAAGAAAAAATCTTAGGTTATCTGCCCCCCTTTCCTTTTTCAAGACAAAACATCAACACTGATGGTTACTAAACATTCCAGATCAGTTCAGGCACAATTACTGATCAATTGCAAACAGTAAATCTTCATTATTATACACAACTTAGTTTACTTTTTCATACATACACACTGCATTCGATTTTATATGTTTTTTAAATGTCGTCATTGTACTTGATTCTTTTATTTCATTGTCAAGATTATTCCATAAGTTTACTCCTTTCACAGCAACACTTCGCTCCATAACCTCGGTTCTGAATCTGGGTTTTTTAAACATGTAGGTTCCTTTTAAATTGTAAGTGGCTTGTTCTCATCTCAAACAGTCTTTGAATATTTACAGGTAATACATTGCACTTTGCTTTATACATGCATTTTAATTCCTTATTTGTTAGCTTTACCATTATGTCAGAACTCTGCTCTGGTTGTGAAAAGAGCTTATGAACTCATCGTAGTGAACAATTAGGATGCAGGAAAAACTTTTGACCACTGTACACCATTTTAACTGAACTGTTCTTTTTTTTTTTTTTTTTTTTTTTTTTTTTAACATATTTAAGATGGTAAAAATCAGGTACAGCTCTATTTAAACATAAATGTAACCTGGCTCTTTTTTCCGTGTAGGATTCAGTACTGCAGCCAGGAGATCGTCATCATGAGGGAGGACATGGTCAACAAAATGTGCCGGAACTGTGTGCGGCTGCCCAACAACAACCTGGACATCCCCAACCATGCAAGTCCTCACTCTCACACTCTTAGACGTGCACACTCTTAAAGCTGCCACACACTACAGGAGAATTTGCCCAATTTTGGCTGAGATTTGTTTCTCCCCGAGTTCAGGGAGGCGTGACCCGACTTTGTGTCTTCGTGTGTGATTATAAAGCCACTGCGCTCCTCGTGTGTGTGTGTGTGTGTGTGTCAATGTGACTCTGACCTGCTCTGTCAGATTGTAAACATCAAACATCAGCAACAGCCAATAAAACGGAGCGTCAGGGTCAGACGGAGTGATGGACAATAATATGTGGTAACGGAGGGAAACAGGGGCAGATTTTTGACATTCAAATAGCTCTTATTCAGAAACTAGAGGAACTATTGAAATAAGTAAAGTATCAGAATGTAGGAAAGAGTTACACTCCAACAGGGTCAAGTTAAACCTGTGATATTCTTTCAAGTTGTTGACAAAAAATTTAAAAACTCATGTCGGTAACGGAGAGAATGAAATATGCAGCACTTTTTGGACAATAAATCCAAACAGTGATAACTCTTGGTTCTCACTTACATATCCTTAACAAACTGGTTTGAATATTTGCTTCATATAGTTTTCTACCATATGATACAAGATTAGGTTGAAAAACCTCTTACTTTTTGAGTCATGAGATTTTTTATTAAGAAAGGTCATGGTAACAGAGGGAAAAGTAACGGAGGGAAAATTGTGCAAACAAGTAGAAGGTGCATGATTTTGCATAATTTGTCATGCTTTTTTTCTTCCGAATACTTTAATATTACTTCAAAATGAAAGGAAACTATTTCTATAAAATATGTCATTCCTTCCAAGCTAATTTTTATCATTTTAAATACTTTTTTTTTTTTTTATCACGTACCTTCATCAACAGTTCAAAGATGGAATAACACAAGATATGATGAAATACATCCATTTATTTACATGATTTGCAGGTCTTTGAAATTTGGGAAATAATTTTTGTTCCATGTTTCATACAAGGTCTGTTTAAAACATATGTAACTTTAGAACCAAAAATGGTACAGAAAAAAGGTAAACAGTTTCATAAACTAGAGTACATATGTATCTGTTGAATACATTTTTATATCAGATGCATTAACTTGAATTTTTGACCTTGCTGTTTACTTCTGCTTGACTGGGCCCAAATATAAAGTGCTGTATCTCATCCATGTTATCTATAGAATTTGTCCTCTGCAAATAATGACCCCCAGTCCACAAAACAGCACTGTTAATTGAGTTTGAAGCGTTCTTTAAAAGTAAAAAGATGAGAGTAGTTCCGCATGTGTGTGTGTTTACATCCACACAGTGCACGGATCGAGGTGAAGCTGCAGATTAGCGACAGTGAATTTTAATGCACAGTAAAAAAAACACGTCTGCACTTTTGACTGTTTGAGTCAACAGGGATGTCCCAGTTTTTTATTTTGAAATTCCGGTCATCCTAAGCAGGTATCCGAATACATATCAGAGCTCAAACCAAAAAGTTACATAGGGCACCTTTTTAAAATTGGACTTGTCATGTTCACGAGTCCTTCACGCTCACTCCTCCCTGTGTATATACTGAAGTCTAATGTTTCCATGTGTGCTCCTCTTCATCAGTATGTGAAGAGCATCCTGTCACAGGCCCATCTGGCTCCTCTGCCTCTGTACGTGAGCCCCGTGTTCTGGGCCTACGACTACTCTCTGCGCGTGTACCCTCTCCCCGACGTCATCGTGTTCGCAGACAAGTACGACCCCTTCAGCATCACCAACACCGACTGCCTCTGCATCAACCCGGTGAGACATTTAACTCTGAGACTCACATTTTATTACTGTCACAACACTGTAAAAACACTTTTATTTAGATAGAATGTGATTTTCAACATTTAATCTTTCTTCTACCATGTGGCCTCACACTATATTCTGTGTAGTCCCTCCTGCTCTTAGGATTTGTACTTTTGTTTTTTACAGGGTTCATTTCCAAGAAGTGGCTTCACGTTTAAGGTGTACTACCCCTCCAGCAAAACTGTGGAAGACAGGTACGGCACATAGAAGATTTAAATAAAGCACAGATAATTATAACTATATTGTAATAACTATTATGTTTGTTTTTGCAGCAAACTTCAAGGACTCTAAAAAACCCCTCTGTCTGTAAATAGAAGTGATCATGAACTGTATTTTGTATGATGTATGTTTGGAAATGTTCACTGGAGTCTTTTAAACAATTTTGTAAAAATGTGTTAATAAATTTTAATTGTTTGTAAAGAACAGTTGTAATTTTGCTTTTTAAGAAATCAGTTTTATCAAATGTACACTATGGAGCTTTTGAATGTTTCCCAGTGTGCAATGTAAGTTATTTGAAGAAGTAATTACTAGTTGCTGTTTAAAAATGTAATATTACACTACTTAAGCTACTTTCTTGAGGCAGTAACATTACTTCAGGATTCCTTTATTTGCAATACTGTGTAAATGAATAAAATAGACATTTTTATGTTTGATTTAAAGACATTTAAGTACAGTTGAAGAGTTGAGTTGTTAAACTCCCTTTTAGCACACTGAACGTGCTGCTTTAAGATGAACAGACGTTTGCAGAGGAAGGTTAGGTTTGTCCTGCAAAGGTTGTTTTATGTTGAAGGTAACTAAATAAGTACTTGGTTAGTAACAAATCATCATTTAATGTGTTATACTACTAAGTTACTTTAGAAAGTGATTTAATTACAGTAAGGCACAGGAGAAATTAAATTAGTCAACTAACTAAGTCCTAAGTCCAAGCTAACTAAGTGTTAGTAACTTAGCCCTAACATTGCCAGTATGGCATTAAATACATCCATCTCAACTGAGACAAGTCTGTGTCATCAAGCAAAGATGTAGATCCAGTCTGTGGAGGAACCCTGCTCCCATAAAGATTTTTTACCAATAAAAGCACCTGTAATTGAATAATTTTATTATGTTTGATTTAAGATGGCTTTACATTTATATTATGTTACATTACAAATAAATCTAAATGTTTAGATTGTTTGCAAAGCAGCTTATAATTATATAAGATAAAACGTGAAATATGTTGTAATAACAGAAGAACATGGGCACTTGGGCTGTAGCTGCGCCTTTTGCAATAATCACATTTTGACACTTTTGTCCTGTCGCTGTTTTATCAGTTTGTTTAGTTTTATTTGTTTGTTTAGTTTTATTTGTTTGTTTGTTTAGTTTTATTTGTTTGTTTAGTTTTATTTGTTTGTTTGTTTAGTTTTATTTGTTTGTTTAGTTTTATTTATTTCTTTAGTTTTATTTGTTAGTTTGTTTGTTTAGTTTTATTTGTTTGTTTTATTTGTTCTTCTGCGGGGCGCGTCCTCGCGGGGGCGTGCGTCAGGCGCGTGCGTCGGGGGCGCGTCTTTCACGCGTCCACTGCTGATGACGTAGCGCCGTGACCTCATTTACAATGGACCGGTGCTAATTTTTGCAGAAAAACATCCGGAAACAATACTATTTTATACAACAATCGACGCTTGAAACCAAAACGAATGCGCTGTGAGATCATTTAACTCCACATTTCACGTAAGTTAGCACCTTACTGGTTAGCATTATTCATCCGGTGGGCTCATAAAAGCGCTTTTCTGATGCTTTTGACACATGCTCCTGTTGTTATTGTCGTCTGGGCTCAGCTGATAACGCGGTCAGAGCTCAGTTGTGTTTTTAACGTTCTTAAACTGTTGATTTAACCTTTTGTGGTTACGCTTTTGCACAGTCCACATCCGGATTAATTAAAGCATTTGGTTTAACACGGGGACGAGGGCTAACGTCGTCACTTGATGACCTGAATAGTGAAAGACTCGCAGAAGTAGGTCAGTCTGCTGGAATTACCACGGATGAGTCCTGATTACTGCTAACTACTCACTTTCACCTTTCGAGACTTTTTTTTGCAATGATCAGAGCATTTTTACTGCTTAAATCTGCGTCAGTATCAACACTAGAATAGCTGTAGTCCTTTGTTTACAGCAGACACCAAATATTTTCTTGGCTGGGTGTGTCTACTAAAGATAAATTCGGGTTTTGGGGTTGGGGGAAAATGTATCCTTCCCGAAGAATTGACAAAAAGACTCAAATGTGAACTGATAATCTAATACAAGAATCACATTTCATGTTTGTACAGGGTTAGACTTTTATGCAAAATAAGACAGCAGATTTTGTTCTGTGTAGAGGAAATGATTTGCCAGTTGTTCGTTTTTCTTTTTTTTTTTTTTGCATGAACTTCTGTGCAGTTGTGGTTTTGTGAGATAATGGTTTTGAAAGCTATTGCCTCACACCTGCTTTAATTGACTAATCATTGTCTTTAGGCGACCAAAAATGTATTGTAGTCGACTGTGAGCAGTGACAGTAAATGTTTTCTTGGCTGGGTGTGTCTACTAAAGATAAATTTGAGTTTTTGGGGTTTGGGGGAAAAAATGTATTCTTGTGCAGTTCACATTTTAAACGCGTCCTGAAGAATTGACAAAAAGACTCAAATGTGAACTGACAAACTAATATAAGAATCACATTTCAGAACATGTTTCTACAGTGTTAGACTTTTATGCAAAATAAGACAGCAGATTTTGTTCTGTGTAGAGGAAATTATTTGCCAGTTGATCGTTTTTTGTTTTGTTTTTTGCATGAACTTCTGTGCAGTTGTGGTTTTGTGAGATCATGGTTTTGACAGCTATTGCCTCACTTCCACTTTATTCAACTAATCATTGTCTTTAGGCGACCGAGAATGTATTTAGTTTACTCTGAGCAGCAGTAACTCGCCCTCTGATTCAAAAGTTGGTGGTTTAAATCCCTCCCGCTCTCAACGTTAACATTGCTGGTAGTAGGAGTGTGCAAAAATATTGAAATATCGATATATCGTGTCATTTAATGTGATGATACAGTATTGACATATCACTAAGAATATTTTTTGGTGTATTTTGCTAAATTATTTTGTTACATTGCTACAGTTTTGTTGTTTGTTTAGAGGAAAGAAACTCATTTATGCAACACATTTGACATTTTCACTATTTTGATTATTAAAATCCATGTGTTTCATATTAACTTCGCACAAGAAGTGATTTAACAAAGACTTTTAGTAGAACAGCCATGATTTAGCCTTTAGTTTTATTGAACCAGATCAAATCGATTTTAAATATATTGTATTGAATTGTATTGAATCGAAAGCTCACTGAATGCTCTTAATGATGCTTAGGCTTAATTGGCAGAGTGGTCAGATACTTATGGGTAGGGGTGTAAAAACAAAAATCGATTCAATAATATACTGTGATACTTAATTGCACAATTCTTGAATCGATTCAAATTCAATCAATCAATCAAACTTTATTTGTATAGCACTTTTCATGCATTTGAAATGTAGCACAAAAAACAAAGTACTTCAATGCAACAGAAAAATGACAATAATTAAAAATAATTAAAAACAACAGCACCCCCCACCTCATTGTGTCATCCATATATACAATAATAATACATAAACATAAAACTCCTAAAGGTTATAGTAAAAATAAATAATAATTTAATTTAAAACATTTATAATAATAATAATTAAATTTTAAAACAAGTAAAGGTTTCAATTAAAAGCTAAATTGAAAAGATATGTTTTGATTTTACTTTTAAAAATAGGAACTCAGCGGACCTCAGATCCTCAGGTCGACTGTTCCACAGACAGTGGCCGTAAAAGCCGAATGACGTCTCACCGTGAGCTTTAGTTTGGACTCTTGGGGCAGTTAAAAGATGACTACCTGATGTGATAAAAGCAGATCAGATAAATAAATATGACTAAGACCATTAAGAGCTTTCTAAACCAATAAAAGCACTTTAGAATCTATCCTGAAGCTCACAGGAAGCCACTGCAGAGACTTCAGTACTGGGGTGATGTGCTCTCTCTTCCTGGTCCTCGACAGCAGCCGAATAGATTTTTTTTTTAGAATAATATTTTTCACTAAAATTAATTAGTTACATTTACAGTTCTCATGATTTGAAAGGTTATAATTTCTATTTTGTACAATTTTGTTTTTGTACAATTTGTTCTTGTGAAGGTGTAGTTGATATTATTAGAAGTAATTATTGATAATATCCAGTATAGCATCCAATGTTTTACTATCGGGATATATCATGATATATTCAATCATGACATGGATATCATGATATGTATCATATCGCCAGACTCAAGGCTGATGGGCAAGACACGTAACCCCCTCCTTTGCCCTCAGCACCTGCATATATTGGAGTGAGTGAATGATTTAGTGGCTCCTTGATGTGAAGTGCTTTGCCTTGAAGGTAGAAAAGCGCCATGTCACCATTAACCATTTAGCCCTTGTGACTTTCTTAACATACTTAAAACACTTCCTGGTGGCTCCACTTAAACTAATGACCTAATCCCCTCCTCAGCGGTGAAAGTCGGCGTGCTCTGCTGGTTTCTCGCTGCTCCCTCACTGCTCCTCTCTGCTCACCGGAGACTGGAGGAGCCATGGAGTGGGACGAGGATTCGGACGAGGAGATGATAGCCATGATCAATCAGGAGGACTTCCCTCCTGAAGATGATGATCCAGAAGAGGAGGAGGACGAGGACGAGGAGGTGGAGGAGGTGGAGGGCGAGCAGCCTCTGGACACTGAATCCTCAGAGTCCTTCGAGCTGGACACGCCGGCGGAGAGGAGCGGACATGTGGCTGTGGTGGACGGCACTGCTATGTATGTGTGGGGCGGGTACAAGGTGAGTGAAGATAAGCTATTTTTTTGTTTTGTTTTTATTAGTGCATAATGACCAACAATAACTGTATAATTAGGCCTGTCCGGACATTTTGAAATGTGTTATATTGCTACAGAGATATGCTGCGATAAACTACAATGTTGAAACTACTTTATGGCAGTGACACAATAATAATAATACAGGATAATTCCAGTAAACCATTTTAAATAGTCATATTAAGCCTGAGTTGCAATAAATAACAGAATGAACCAGTATTTAGCGTCAGAAATCACTTATTATAGCTCAGATTGTATTACAACAACACTTGTACAAAGAAAAGGTAGGGTACACACAATAATTATTGATCCAGCTTATATATTTTGAATGATAAGTCAATATAGTCGTTACTGTGACAGGTGTATATAATAAGGTTGCACAATTTGGGAAAAAAACAACATTTAAAGTACAGAGTTAGCAGCACAGGTTAACACGTGTCTGTTTACAGAAGGCACTGGATAAAGTGCAACAAGAGACTCACAAATGTTGTGTTAACAGAAGATTATCGCTTTATTTATTTTACTCTTTTGTCTTGTTTCCTGGTTTAGTAAAAAAAAAATATATATATTTTTTTTTGTGTGAATTTCTTTTTTGATAAACTTAAATTCTTGTTTTATTTAGAATGCCCAAAACCATGGCTTTTTTGACCTTTACCTGCCCAGAAATGAGATCTGGATGTACAGCATGGAGACTGGAGAATGGTATGCCCTTGCCTTATTACTGGCGTGTGGTTGGCGTGTGGATGGCGTGTGGATGGCGTGTGGATGGCGTGTGGTTAGTGTGCGGTTAGTGTGCGGTTAGTGTGACAGTCCCTCTCTCCTTGTGCCTCAGGTCCAAGCATCTGGCCGGGGGAAACCTGCACACGTCCATGTCCGGCAGCTGTGGAGTGTGTGTGGACGGAGTGCTCTACCTGTTCGGAGGCCACCACGCCAGAGGCAACACCAACAGGGTAAATTGGATCTTTTCTGTTTTGTCAATCATTTTCTTTTATATACAGCTAAGAAAATGAACAACACATTAACAATGTACAGTTACATTTCACTGAGTCCTGTTAAAAAAAACTGTGCATATCCTGCTCTCTTACAGTTCTTTTTGCACTGTACATCCTCCCACTCAGTTTGATTTTCAAAATTGCTTACAGTATGACAGTATGACCTATATGCAGATGCCAAATTTACCTACCACTCAGGAAGCTGCTGCTGCCCCCGGACACCTCTGCTCGACTGCTTTAGTGACATCAAGACTTGGTTGGCCCACGTTTTGAGTCTCAGTGAAGGGAAAACTGAGATCTTACTGTTTGGCAACACTGATCACCTTATAGATTTGAGTGTCTTTGTCAAACCCTCTGTCACCAGCCTTGGCATCACTATTGACAGTGATTTAAAAAACAAAACATGTGAACATCAGATCTGGCTTTTATCATTTGTGGCTTTTATCCAAAGTGAAACCGTTTTAATCTTTTCATGCATTTGAACAGGCCACACAGGTTTGTCTCGTTTAAACGACTGTAGTGCACTTTTCTCTGGCATCAGCCATCATGTACTTTCCCGCTTACAGTTGGTCCAAACCTTTGTTGCGCAACCTTTAACTGGAAGCAAAATACAAGAGTGCATAACCCTGTTTATTGCGTTGTTGCAGTGGCTTCCAGTTTGTTTTAGAATTAATTTTAAGATTTTATTGTTTGTTTTTGAAGCTTTGAATTGACCGGCCTCACAATACGCCTGGGACCTCTTACAAATTTACAATCCCCCACGCACTCTGAGGGCCAGCTCCAGCTCGTAGGGCCTAAGATGAGACCAGGGGGACCGGGCCTTCTCTGTGACCGGTCTAAGCTCTGAAACGCCAATCTGCTTTCTGATTGTCTTGAGAACCAAAACACCAGATTATAACATAAACACCTTGACATCATGTCCATTTAATTAAGAATAAATCAGCATTACAATTGTTCAAATCAAATATAGCTTTCACTGTTAACATGTTTAACTCATATTTAGGAATACAGTTAGATCATATCTTATCTTATGTACAGTTCCTTTTAAAGCCTCCAGGACGTTCAAAAGCACTGATCACTTCCATAGCTGTCTCTGTGCTGTAGCTGCGTTTCCCGTGTGTCTCTGGTCTGACATGTACCTGTTTGCAGATTTACCGACTTCCCCTGCACGGCCCCAGCCTCACCTGGGAGGAGATGAGGGAGCTCAGCGGGACCCCTCCCTCGGCGAAGGACAAGCTGGGCTGCTGGGTCTACAGAAACAAGTGCGTCTGCCGTAGAATGTAGAGTCCACCCACTGAGGAGTGGTAGAACTAATGTGGTGTGTGGTTCTCTGCAGGATCATCTACTTTGGCGGCTATGGCTACGCTGCTCATGAACACAGAGGGACTTTTGAATATGACGAATCCTCTTCACTTGTGGTAATGCACGAAACACAGGGATCGCCCTGAAGTCAATTTTATGTCATTGATTCTCAAGTGAAGTAAACTGAGACAGAAGCATAATCTATCATGAACATATAACCTGAAAGCTTTCTAAGACCTTCCTAATGTCATAGCAAAATTGTGTCAGCTCTTTATGCGTCAATATTGTCAAACTAAGTCCTAAATGTTTGGTACTGAGTGTGCTGTTGCTTTCTCTTCCAGTGGGACAGCCCAGGACGAGGCTGGAACAACCACGTCCATGTGTTAGACCTGGAGACCCTGAGCTGGAGTCAGCCCGTTACCACGGTAAATACTAACGCTTACACACTAATGTGTAATATACAGTCAGTACTTAAGCTTACACACTCATGTGTAATTTACACTCAGCAATGATGCTTACACACTAATATATATTGTACAGTCAGTACTAAAGGTTACACAGTAATGAGACCCTGTCATTTATCACAGTATGTACTTAAACTTACACACTGAAGACCAGTTCATACTTTGTCAGAAGTAAGATGTTTGTTCTTAAACTGTAGAAAGAACAAGACCAAACCTTTGGGCTCAGACATTTCATATACACCAGAACTTCTGCAGAAACACTCAAAATGGAAAAAAGTGCTCATCACAATGTTGGAAGTTAAACTATTGCACTTTTACAAAAGTGCAATACATTTAATATTTAGATTGTCACAAATCTAATCAATCACAGTAATGTTCCAGCCCAGCATGAACAAAGTTATTCTCAGTCGAAGTGTTGAGAACAAGCTGCAGAGCTGCACAACAGGTTCATAATGATTCCACTAAATTCTTCATAAATAATGAAGCTCCCTTCCCCAGACATGTAACATTCACATACCAGCACCGACACCAGGCATTCTGACAGCTCCAGGCGTCAAACAGAGGCCGTGCTTCTGAAGTCTGCACTTCACATGTGTTTACACTCTTGTCTCCAGGGTAACTGTCCCTCTCCTCGAGCCGCTCATGCCTGCGCTACCGTGGGGAACAGAGGCTACGTGTTTGGAGGACGATATAAAGTATGAACAGAGTAGAGTCATGTAATAAATGTTCTAAACCTGTTTTGACTCCTCCTTACGTGCCCCACAGAATTACAGACTGAACGACCTGTACTACCTGGACCTGGACACGTGGCAGTGGCATGAAATGTAAGTGTGAAATGTAAAATGTAAATGAAAGAAACATAACAAATGACAATGAGATACTATAATTAGATGCAGGCAGTACACAGTGGACTTATATTGACCTCAAGAGCTGCTTTATTGTTATGGCTGCTTCTTCTTCTCCAATAAATAAACTGTCTTTCAGGAGTGTCCCGCAGGGGGGGCCAGTGGGGCGCTCGTGGCACTCCTTCACCCCCGTGTCCCAGGACCACATCTTCCTGTTCGGAGGCTTCACCACAGAGCGCGACACCCTCAGTATGTCTTCATTGTCACGTACAAAATGTGCTCCTGCTGTGTATAACGTGTGTGTAACGTGTGTGTAATGTGTGTGTTTAGGTGACGCCTGGTTGTACTGTGTCAGCAAGAATGAATGGAAGCCCTTCAAACACAGCCACACTGAAAACCCAAGGTAACGTACAGTAAAGGTGCACTGTGTAATTTTTCTGGTGGCTATGTCTGGAATATTTCACAGTGCAGCATTGAATGTTTTGGTTTTTTTGCTAAAAAATCTTAACTGTGAATGGGGTCAGCTTTCTGATGATCTGACCCGGTGGCATCAACTACTTGTTTTTCCATGGAGGTGGATGTATTTAGAAAACATAAAGTGGAGGCAAGCAGAGGGCACAACTATCTGGTTTAATTTAGGATAATCAGCTCTATTGTAACTATAAGCAAATGCATAGAAACCTTTTGTACAAACAAAAATACTTTTAAATAATAAATGATTTAATATAAATGCATTCAGGGGCAGTAACTCAGTTGGTAGAGTGTTTATCTACTGATCCACAGGTTGACTGTTGTAATTCCAGCTTCCACAGATGAATGCTGTCGTTGTGTTCTTAGGCAAAACACTTAACCCCCCTCGCCCCCAGTGTCTGCATAAACTGTAGTATAAATATGTGTAATTGGGTGAGTGGTTCTTTGTTGTAAAGCGCTTTGAGTGCCTTTAAGGTGGAAAATCGCTGTATAAAAATGTGACCATTTACTATTTATTATTGACAGTCAAGCTTTTTTCCCTACAAGACTCCCTCAGAATGAGAACAGTAACAAAAACTTAAATAATAACAGTATAATGTGTATTTAACGAGGACAGTGTCTTCTCCCGCCCTTCCTCTGAATTTCTGTATTTATTTTAAAGAACAGCATGTTCTCCGTCCTCTCCTCAGCCTGTCTCTGCTGCTTTCACTGTTGTTTGGCCCCTGTACACTGACTGTTGTGTGTCTGTGTGTCTCTGTGTGTGTTTGTGTGTATGTCTCAGGTTGTGGCACACGGCGTGTCCTGGGCCTGATGGAGAAGTCTTTGTGTTTGGAGGATGTGCCAACAACCTGCTGTCCCACCAGAGAGCGGTGAGAGCCCTTCATCATCACCATCATCATCATCTGCGCACTTTTACAGCAGTGTTAATATGTATGTGTCTCTGTCTGTGTTTGTGTGCACATCCACAGGCTCACAGCAACCAACTACTGATCTTCAACGTTCAGCCCAAGTCTCTGGTCAGGTGAGAAGACCGTGTTATAATGTTCCCTCTTCAAAAACCTGCCTGAAGAGGTTTTAGAGTGATCATACATCTCCTGGGCCATATTTAAACCCTCCTTACTGTTCACTGTAGGATTCTGTGCAATGCTCCCACATGACAGTTCTCTATAAATATAGAAAAACATGATAGAAAACTGTACACAACTGGATAAACCTGATGCGATGTTCAGTGGTTTTATGAGCGGGCTCTGTGCGCTGATTGTGTTGTGATAGCATACACACACGTTTAGGGTGACCAGACATCCCTGTTTACTCGAGACAGTCACAGTTTTGAGCCACGTGTCCTCTGTCCCAGCAGATTTATGCAAAACCAGTGATTTGTCCCAGTTTTATACAAGAAATGTCCCAGGTGTCAATATTTTTGACCAATTTGATACCTGCCAACGCACTCACAATTTTATTATTACCTACAACCACAAACTGGGGGAGTCCCAGTCTTTGATTTAGAAAATCTTGTCACCCTACATATGCTGTGTGTACCACTTAATACATTTTTGCTAGCTCAAATAGTCCATGTAACCGCGCTGATCTTGGCCGGGCAAAAGTCCAACTTGGTTGCAGGAATAACCTGTCTGTTTTCTTCCATCTTTGACTGCGGTATGGTTTATCTGCGTTGTGTTGTGAACAAATGGCCAGAAAACTGTGCTGTCTTTTGTGGTTTTAATCTGCATGAAACAAAAAAAAAAAAAACTACATGGAGAAAAAGTCACATTAGCGTCTAAAAGTTGGCTTCTGTCACGACATGTGTAACAGTCCATCAGTGGCAATCATACACTGATTTACTCCCCAGGTGAGACCCCCTCCTAACTCATACATTGTACAAAATATTAACTCATAACTGTCCCAAATGACATAAACAGGTTAGCCGCAGGGTCTTAAAAGTCAAAAGTTAAAAAGGTCTTAAATTTCATTTTCCTAAATTAAGGCCTTAAAAAGTCTTAAATTCTGTTGTCCAAATCTTATTTTTTTCACAAAGGTCTTAAATTTCATTAGCCTATTTTTTGTTTACTCAACCAGGCTGCTGTGCCATGTTAAATGGAGGGAGGGGGAAAAAAAACAGCAATGTGAAATCACTTCTAATTTGGAGTATGCACAAACAATACTTTGGTTTCTGGCGCCCGCGCATGGATCATGGGGAAGTGTAGATTTAATTCGCAGCGGCTCTTAGATTCTAGATACAATACCGGTAGTTGTTTGGTCATTATTAGAATTGGATCTGGTGTATTTTGCCCGCATAATGTGTGCGATGTTGGTCTTAATTTTAATTTAAGTGGTCTTAAAAAGGTCTATAAAAAGTCTTAAATTTGGGGTAGTTGAACCTGGGGACACCCTGATAAATAAAGTCTACAATTAGGCTGTGAACATATAATGAATAATTAAACAGAAATACACGTTTTTTAACAACAGAGCTAAAGTCGGTGACCCATCTCGGGGTCAGCCCTACGTTCCCGCAGCATTATGTTCCCTTATTTATAAGATTTTTGAGTCAAGTCATTTTTATTTTTGTACTGCATTTAAAGGGATGATTCAGAGTAGGGATGGGCATGATTTGTTGATTAATCGACAATTGATCATTAAGAATTTCATCGATTACGTTCATTTTAATCGACAAACCGAATGTAGGTTGCTGTGCGTAGCGTGACCAAAACAGTACATGTGTCTCTGCACTCAGAAGGAGCGAGACACAAACAGTCGGTCAGTCTGCAACGTACCGAAGCACAAATGCGTATTTAACGATGACTTGTACAAGAAATTCCACGCTTTCCGTTGCGTTCGGGACAAGTGTGAGTCCATGTGCACAGTGTACAAAGCAGCACATATGTTTCGGTGTCCAGTGGAAAAAATCTTTGCCAGGTGAGAGTTGCGCAGTGTCGATGACGAGACCCCACTGAGTCATGTCTTTTAATCCGACAGAAGTTGAACCGCATCAGCGCACAAGAGCTGTATTTTTATCTTCGCTTAGTTTATGCAAATTAGCAATGCGGTTTTAAGTTTTGTTTCTGTGAGAGTTGCGCAAAACTGAATTAAACACATTATAATGTCAAACGGACTGATGTGGCTCTAGAGTCGTTACGGTTTATATGTCGTAAAGTTGAATTTATTTAGGCAGATTAGTAGTGCAGATAGTAATAATAATGATGATCATTTTAATATAAAAACATTAAATGATTAATTGATAATCGATTGTTAATTCTTCCGATGATCGATTAAGAAAATTTCATCGAATGCCCATCCCTAATTCAGAGTCATTTCAACCTAGGATCCTGTGCACTCTCCTGCTCGTTAATAGGTTGGGTGTAACTGATGAACAAATTGGGAGAAATGGGGATAAATTCTGATGCAAATGGATGATAAAGGAAATGTGGGAATGTGGAAAAAAACAACTTAGAAATGAGGGAACACAGGCACGCTCCCCCCCACCTCGTTCCCGTCTCTCATGAACTGGCAACATGCTCACTGCGTCAGGTCCACTTATCACTACTGATCGTCACAAGAGGGCGCTACTCAAACAAAATGCATTAAATCATGAAGAGTAATAACAAGTGGAATCAAACACGACGTAATCTCCGTTCCTCTACCTTCCAGGTTCTGCATGGAGTCCATCGTGGAGCACCGCGAGCGCCTGTCCACCTCCTGGGACTGTCTGCCCAAGCACCTGCTGCACAGCCTCAAGCAGAGGATGAGTCTGCTCAACACGCTGGGCTCCTGAGGACTACGGGACGCCACCATCTTTGTAGTCCTGACGCGTGTACGGGTCATGCTAATTCAATCCATATGTGTATCGCACCAACACGTGTAAAGTGAAAGGCAGAAGTGCGGCTGCGATCAGAGCGTGCCGGAGGTTGATGGCGAAGAGAGAATCTGTATTGGTCCCAAAGTTTGGACTGTCAAAGAGTCTAGAATGTCGGTTGCCTGGGAGTTTGTGGTCTGCTACTCTAGTGTCAAAAGAAAAGCTATTTTTAAGGGTGCTGTACCTGATTTTTACCATCTTAAAAACATGAAAACACAACTAGTTAATTTTAAACGGTCTACAGAGGTCTAAAGTTCATCCTCATTTTTCACCGCGATGAGTTTATAAGCACTTTTCACAGCTCACAGAGCGGAGTTTTAGCGTGAAAATAAAGCTAACAACTAGCATGCTAACTTGAACTTCCTGTTTAACGGACAATAAAACACTTTCTAATTCGATGCAGACAGTACACAGCACAGTTCTTTTAACCTCAAGAGCTGCTGTACTGGGGCAAGACACATTTCACCCACAAATATACAGGGGAAAAAATCTGGTACAGGCCCTTTAACAAGAATATCCAGAAAAAGGCAGCATTCACACTTGGCTTGGTTTGGTCCTATCCTAGTCCTGGTTTAGGTCCGGGTTTAGTCCCAGTTTTAATGTGAGGTGAGTACAAGTGATTGTGGCTAGAAACGGGTGTACACTGTGTGATTTTTGACTCGTGCGACTGTTTTTGGGACAGTTTCGGGCTGAGTTTTGGCTTAATCGTGCGTCGTGCTTCGTGTAGTAAACATGGAATAACGAGAACCGATTAATACCACATGACCAGCTCCCGATCGGCATTCGTACATCGCAAGAATATCAAGCCTGTCTGAAATCCAGCCGCCTCGTGAGGGTTTCGCTCTGTCGCACGAGTAGTATTTGCATGAGCTGTGAACTTTTAAAGCCTGCAGTTCAGTTGTACAGTTTGAGCTGGAACTGAGTGAAATTGCATAGTGTATGTCCGGCATAAGTTCGCAAGCCAGTCTCATTCACGCTTTGAGCAAATGCTAAGATGAACTGTCATGGGAGAATATAAATGTGCATTTTTTTGGGACAAAATTACATATTCTTGTGAGAAGTGAATAATTACCTGCTAAGTGCTAACACAAACATACACCGCTCAAAAAAATGAAACACGTCAGATCTCAATGTGAAAAAAACAAAGGTGGGTATCTATACAAATCTGGACATTAACTCTGGTAAGCTGCAATAGAGATGCAACAATGAGACAGCCCTTAAAATAGAACTGGTTTTGTGTCTCCCAGAGCTATCTCCAGAACATGGAGATTTCAGAGGAGACAGGCTCACAGATCCATCCCACAAGACGTCCCTGTTTACCCGGGACAGTCCCAGTTTTGTCTCCTGTCCCAGCAGATTTATCCCAAACCACTGATTTGTCCCAGTTTTATACAAGAAATGTCCCACGTGTCTCTACTTTTGACCAATCTGATCCCTGCCACCAGTAAAGAGAGGCATAGATTGTCATTTGTTTAGGTAAAATACAAAACATCTGCTTAAAAACAATCAAAACGCAAAGAAAATGTGACTATACTGACACATGTTAGTCGTGAATGGTCTCTGTGTAATTAAGGAAAATTCTTCTGCACTCGTTTCACAATTTTATTATTACCAACCACCAAAAAAACGTGGATGGTTTTTTATTTTGAAATTCTGGTCGCCCTAAGCATGCCACAACGCTGAAGCATTTTGCGTTGTAGAAATTATCCATCCATCCATTTTCTTCCACTTATCCGGGGCCGGGTCGCCGGGGGCAGCAGTCTAAGCAGGGACTCACCCCAGACATGTCCTCCAGCTCCTACGGGAGGACCCCGGGGCGTTCCCTGGCCAGCCGAGAGACATAGTCCCTCCAGCGTGTCCTGGGTCTTCCAGTGGGACACGTCCGGAACAGATGCCCGAGATACTTGAACTCCTCCACTTGAGGCAAGGACTCTCCACCCACCCAGAGAGGGCAAATGCCTTCGCCAGATCCAAAAGCACATGAACCCGGTGCAGAAATTAAATTTAGGTAAAATGGACGAGTCTGCCACATCATTATTTCACTTAGATTTTCAGGGTGTGTATAAAATGAAGCCCCCTTTAGACTGAAAATGTGAGTTTCATTAAAAGAGGTGGCATCCTTTTGTTCCTAAGACATTGTCCTGTCCGTATTTGTATAGATATCCAACATATATTTTTTCACGTTGAGATCTGACGTGTTTTCAAAGTGTTCCTTTCATTTTTGAGCAGTGTATTTCAAGTGGTATTTCTGTAGAGGCCTAAACTACAGGACAACCTTTAGAATATATTGGGAGTATTTTATTTTAATTTTTTATTGAATGTTTTGGTTTAACATCCTTATCTGGTGTCAGTTTGGAAGAAGTTATTATTTTGCCAGGAATGTTCTACAGTATGGCATTACACTTACCCATCTCCGTCATTACAGATGTTTTTTTTTTATTGCTTAAAAACACCTTGCTCTAAGTGAAGTCCCCTCTCCACAGATCTGATCTGTAACTTGTCTCCTCAGATAAGCCGTAACTTTTCAGGCATAGAAATAGTTAGAAATAGGCCAGAAAAGTTATTCGTGGAAAAAAAACAAAAAAAAAAACACAAATTTAATATGTTGGCCAATTTTAATCTTGAATGACTAATGACGAACGGTTATTTTTTATTTAACTAATGACTTTTGAAATATGTGCCATCAAAGTACAATCTGAAGTTTGGCAATCAGTTGATACTTTGCAGTGACATCATGCATGTTCAGCAGTTGCTATGGTGACACAACGCACAGATTAGCCAACGCCGCCCGACAGATTGCCTAAAAACAACAAAAATACAAAACAATTAAACAGGTGACAGTGACTAATACTAGTTCGTTTGTGGCTGTAAATGTATTTGAGCGTGAACTTGTTTAACAGCACAGATCAGCTCACCTGTTGTAGTTCAGTTAAATCCGTTCTTTAAGGTCAGACTGTGCTAAAACAAGGCTCAGATTAAAGTCTAAGGTTACGTTTATATGATGACGCGTTTATATGAAGTGGCGTCGCGTCTTCGCTTTTTATTCCGCGTTTAGACGAGTGTTTTCGGGAGGAAATCTGCGTGCACACGGTGACGCAGAAGTGTGTGGAATTCGATTGTGTACGCACGCCAGGCGGCTCGGTGGTGATGTTTGTGACGTAAACGTGTACGTGACCTGAGCAGATCTGACCAGAGTTTTGCGTCTTGGGCAGTGTAGACGGAAACGCTACGGCGGAGAGTATTCAACTTTTACACTCTGGAGGGTGGTTTCAGATTTTTGCATTTTTAAGCCCCAAAAATACCGTCACCGTCTAAACGAAAGGCACTTCCGATAAAATATTTTAACGTTTTTACCCGCAAGCGTTCTCGTGTAAACAGACCCTAAGTTGAGTAACAGAGCTTCAGACAGAGCAGTGCCTCGTGTTAGCATCATCCCCCCCAGAAAATGTTGAGCGTAAACATTCTGTGGGTTTTATTGAGTTATTTTTTTAAGTTAAATTAGCTCAGCGTGTTTTTTTTTTTTTAGTTGTTAAAAGATTCAGATGATTAATAAATGAATACTATCACAATTATACAAAATGTGCAAGAAATGAGCGTTTAATCTCTGAATCCAAAATGTAAATATGTACCTTTTGTTATTTATAAAAGTGTGGTTTTGTTTGAAATTTGTGATTTCTGTGTGTCTTAAACGCTTCAACAATGTTCCTCAACTAGAACGCTATTTTACATTTAACTCAAAGCTACAAATGCACTGAAGTCCCTTTGTTTGATTTGCTCGGTTTGCACAATGATTTTTGAAATTGTGAATAAAAAAAATACACTGTACCAAGTCTGATGTCAGCGATTTAATTATATTTATTATGAACAAAAAGGAAAATACAATTTAGTTTATTTTAAAAGAATACACTTGTGTTTCATTTCTTCTTTACAGCGAGGAGGTTGGGTGCGGACACTTTGACTTTCCCGGGCATGTTTCTAGAAAGGTCTGCATCCTGGAATAAAGGGATATGGGATTTGAAGTTTCCAGAATATTATATGATACGTGTGTGGTATTAAATAAATAGGATTGTGGATTACCTTAACACTGCGGAAGAGGTCCTTTTCCCTGAGCGACGCCTCTTTGGACTTCATGAAATTCAGAACTGCAGTGCGAGCGGCTGTAGGAAAGAAAGAAATCAAACTGAAAATGTCTTAAAATCTGAATATTTTATGTCAAATTATTATGAAAGATATAGTAGATTTGGACAGTAGGGAGCATCTACGGGCAATAATGAATTGGATTTATGCAACACCTTTCAAGACCTTTCAAGGCCCCTAAAGCGCTTCACACTTTCAAGACGCCTAAACAACTTTCAAGACCCCTACAGCACCCCACCCTCTGCCCTGGGGCACACTGATGGAACTGTGGCTGCCAAGCTGCGCCATCGGTCCCTCCAACCACCACCGAGAATCCACCAAAGTCACTGTGACACCTTGCATTCCCAGCATTCTCCCATCCAAGTTCCAACCAAGCCGATGATCCACGATATCTTTATGAGACCTTAGGCGATACAATTTCATGATATTTCAGTTATTGTTACATCCCTATCGGTCATGGGCAGAAAGGTATCAACCAGGCACAACCATGGTGGATTTTATGAGTGCCCAGACAATCATAAAGAATCTCCATCATACATACAGGGTTAATAAAAAAAAAAAAAACTGGGGCCACAGTATTTTTTACATCCTTAACAATGTACTGCATGTAAGTCGCAGTTAAAGTGTCACTAACACCAAAATCACTTTTTTCTACTGATTAGTGGGTCTAAAATAGAAGTGTATACCTATCCCTGACCTTATTTTGGCATTTTAGTGCATATTTGTTAAAAATCTTTTGGGTCAAAGTTGTGTCTGTAACGGCTTCTTTCAGATCAACTAAAGCCAGGACATTTGAGTTTTCGGGTTGGACTAACGGCCGCCACTGAGTCAAATGCAGATTATTACATGACGAGCACAGACACTGGCGTCTACGGGCGGGATGTGAGGAGCCCCTCGCAGCCCCGCCCCCGACCTGGTACCGGTCCCACTGTGTCTGGAGAAAAGGGAAACTGCGTGATCCGAGCGCAAATGTCCGCTCTGTTTCAAAGTCCATGGCTGTCAGTCGGCCGTCAATCATTGCTCCAGAGCCCGCCTCACACCAGCTCCCCCAACTCGCCAGGCACCACCCCTCACCTACTCCCCTCAACTGGCTGGACAAAGCCCACTCCGGAGAATTTTTCAGATTTAGCTTAAAGCTTCAGGGTGTTTAATGGCTCTTTAAATAGTAGATCAGATATTTAGTCTACAGTCATCATGTCTTCTCTCACCTTTGCCTTTCTTCTGTGTCCCTGGAGTCAGTTTCACCTTGTATCTGCACAACAACAACAACAGCTTTATCAGTCACTTTCCAGGTTATGTGCAGTCATTTTTATTTCAACTGTGATTAATCACACCGCAAAAAGGTGCAAATTAAATACACAGACTCACGTTCAACTAAAACCACGGTGCTTGAGAACCTGGGATATTTCAAGACAGATATTCTTGTCTTGCATTGACTTCATTAGTGTTGTGTACTGTATACTGTGACGTACTTGTAGTTTGTGAGCGCGGTGTAGGGGGCGCACACGGGCACGGCGAACATGAGCACGTCTTCGGAGTGGGGTTGTCCCGTCAGAGAGGTGAGCAGGCTCTCGGCTTCCTGCACAAAACGTTTACATACAGCATAAATTCATATTAGATGACCTACAAAACTAATATGGAGTTATTGCCAGTGTTGGGGAGTAACAGATTACATGTACCGGAGTTACGTAATCAGAGTACAAATTCTGAGTAACTGTATTCAGTTACAGTTACTGTTTCAGTGAGTGGTAATTGGATTACAGTTACTTTGTTGAAATAAATGGATTACACAGAGGTATTTTCCTGTTTTTACATTTTGAGCTAAACCAGGACTAAAACCAAGACTAAACCAGGTCTAAATCAGGTCTAAACCAGCTCTAAACCAGGACGAAACCAGGACTAAACCGGGACTAAACCGGGAATAAACCGGGAATAAAACGGGACTAAACCGGGACTAAACCAGGTCTAAATCAGGTCTAAACCAGGTCTAAACCAGGACTAAACCAGGATTAAACCAGGTCTAAACCAGGACTAAACCAGGATTAAACCAGGACTAAACTAGGACTAAACAAGGTCTAAACCAGGTCTAAACCAGGTCTAAACCAGGACTAAACCAAGACTAAACCAGGACTAAACCAAGACTAAACTAGGACTAAAACCAGGTCTAAACTATGTCTCCAACAGGATTTAACAGGACTAAACCATGCTGCACGGACCGTGTCTTCTCTTCTTTTATCAATAATATTTTTTATTTGGTTCAGTAAAGTCTGGGCTTTTCATTTTCTTTTATCAGACAAAACATCTTAAGTGAAGATTTCCTCGTCTTTGCTTCTCTACAGCAAATCAAGTAATCCAAAGTATTCAGATTACGTTACTCACTTTAAGTACCTTAATGGATTACGTTACAAACTACATTTTGGGGTATGTAATCTGTAATCTGTAGGAGAATACATTTTAAAAGTCACCTTCCCAACACTGATTATGGTTCATGTTTGCAGATCCCTTCAGTGTAATTACCTCTGCTCCGGGGTTGTCCTGGTCCTGGTCATCCTCCTAAAAAAAGATTAAATTAGACAATAATACCAATAGGACACAGGAGACTAAACTAACTAATTCAGCATTTTTGAGGGGAAGTTCACACCTTTTCTGACTACAATTACTTTATTAGGAAAGATTTTTACTCTTAAGGCTTCAACAATATCACATTTATGTTTAGAATACTTTAAAATACTTTTAATTCACAATAAGTACAATCTAGAAAAACTAATTGCCATGGAGCATAACAAATTAATAGAGCGTAATAGTAAGTGGAATATTTGCTCACTGGTATTAGGGATATAGTAGTAATAATAATCGTCATTGTTATTGTTTATTTCTTGTGTTTTTTATTTGAATATGGTTGGAGCACTTTGTTGAGCTGCTTATACCTTTTTAGTTTTTAATTATTGTTTATTTATTTATTTAAAAATGTAATAAAACAAGACTAAAAATCATAAACTTCTATGTAAAACCAAGCGTCTGTTCTGGGCCCGATGCATTTCACCAGAAGAACTACATGGACCATGAGCCTCAGGACGAGAAACATCAAGAAATGATTTGTATAAACGAAGGATTTTTTAAAGGTCCTGTACAAACATACCTGGAGTTGTGTTTTGCTTCATTCAGACATTTGACACATTCGAGTAATGCTTTATTGTTAAACTGTCTGCACCTCCAAACCTCAAAATGCTCTGTTCCAGTTTTCAAGTGAACAGGAGACACTGGCAATTCCAGGGCTGAAATGATCCAAAATGATTCTAGTGAAAGAGTATGAAAAAACACAGTAGAGCACTTCCTGTATTATATTAGCAGTGTTGGGGAGTAACGGATTACATGTACCGGAGTTATGTAATCAGAGTACAAATTATGAGTAACTGTATTCAGTTACAGTTACTGTTTCAGTGAGTGGTAATTGGATTACAGTTACTTTGTTGAAATAAATGGATTACATGGCGGTATTTTCCTGTTTTCACATTTTGGGCTAAACCAGGACTAAACCAGGGTTAAACCAGGACTAAACCAGGACTAAAACCAGGACTAACCAGGAAACCAGGACTAAAACCAGGACTAAACCAGGACTAAACCAGACTAAAACCAGGACTAAACTAGAACTAAAACCAGGACTAAACTAGAACTAAAACCAGGACTAAACCAGGACTAAACCAGGGCTAAAACCAGGACTAAACCAGGACTAAACCAGGACTAAAACCAGGACTAAACCAGGACTAAAACCAGGACTAAACCAGGTCTAAACCAGTCTAAACCAGGTTAAACCAGGTCTAAACCAGGACTAAAACCAGGACTAAAACCAGGACTAAAACCAGGACTAAACCAGGACTAAACCAGGTCTAAACAGGACTAAACCAGGTCTAAACCAGGACTAAAACCAGGTCTAAACCAGGACTAAACCAGGTCTAAACCAGAACTAAAACCAGGACTAAACCAGGACTAAACAGGTCTAAAAAAGGACTAAACTAGGACTAAACCAGGTCTAAATCACTAAACCAGGACTAAACCAGGTCTAAACTAAAACCAGGACTAAAACCAAACAGGTCTAAAAAAGGACTAAACTAGGACTAAACCAGGTCTAAAAATCAGGACTAAACCAGGACTAAACCAGGTCTAAACAATATGACACTAACAGTAGGTGGACAGACTTTAAAGCAGCAGTGATCTCATATAAAAATAATTTCTCAATCAATAATATTTTTAATAAGGTGAAGTAAAGACTGGACTTTTTATTTTCTTTAAACAGATTTATTTTATGTTCAGATCCTCGTCTTTGCTTCTCTACAACAAACAAAAGTCTGTTCATGGAGACTTGGCCTGAACAGACAATTTGAAGAGAACAAACATGAATTTTCAGGATGTGGTTGGTACATTCATGTAGTTTAAAAAAAAAACCATCACAATATCAAGTAATCCAAAGTATTCAGATTACGTTACTCACTTTAAGTAATTTAATGGATTTCGTTACAAACTACATTTTGGGAAATGTAATCTGTAATCTGTAGGGGAATACATTTTAAAAGTAAACTTCCCAACACTGTATATTAGAGTGTGTTCCGTTTGACAGAAGAACTTCGCCCTTTCAATGTGTGAATGAAACAAAACACGACTCCAGGTCTGTGACGAGGAAACAGTACTCCAGCATAGGTCAGAAAATATAGCATCTTAAATATAAAAAGTTTAAAAAGTAAGCAAGTAAATGTATCTGATGCCTTAAGTTTGTTTCTACAATTTAAAATGTAGTAAACATCTAGAAGAGACACTGCATGTAGAAACTTTTGACCGATATATGAACGAAATGTGCTGTAAAGTGAAAAGCAGTAGACCGGGCTCACCTTGTCGTCCTGCTCCTCCTGTTTTTCCGGTCTCTCCCCCGTCCCCTCGTCCTCTCCGGGCACTATCTTCACTTTACTGTCCCCCCCTCTGGCTTTAGGGGGCTGCTTCTGAGGCCTGGGACCCTTTTTCACCGGCTCGTCCTTCTTCTTACCTTTTTTCCCTTTGTCCTTGTCCTCCTTGTTGCCTGCAGACTGTGGACACGCAGAGACAAACGTACTTGCTGTAAATCTATTAAAAAGCCCCAAAACAAACACTTAAAGGGGAGCTATGTAACTTTTCAGGTAGATGATCTGCTCTTCTCCGTGCAGATGTTATTGCTTTGTCTGGAATGTTCCACATTATGGCATTAAACTATCGGAATGGAGACACTCTTGGTGTTTATCCAAGTCCTGGTCTAGTCCTGATCCGGTCCTGGTGTAGTCCTGGTGCAGTCCTGGTCCAGTCCTGGTCTAGTCCTGGTCCAGTCCTGGTGTAGTCCTAGTCTAGTCCTGGTCCAGTCCTGGTCAGTCCTGGTCCAGTCCTGGTCCAGTCCTGGTCCAGTCCTGGTCCAGTCCTGGTCCAGTCCTGGTGTAGTCCTGGTGCAGTCCTGGTCCGGTCCTGGTGTAGTCCTGGTCCGGTCCTGGTGTAGTCCTGGCTTAGTCCTGGTCCGGTCCTGGTGTAGTCCTGGCTTAGTCCTGGTTTAGTCCTGGTCTGGGTCCTGGTGTAGTCCTGGTTTAGTCCTGGTCCGGTCCTGGTGTAGTCCTGGTTTAGTCCTGGTCCGGTCCTGGTGTAGTCCTGGTTTAGTCCTGGTTTAGTCCTGGTTTAGTCCTGGTTAGTCCTGGTTTAGTCCTGGTTTAGTCTTGGTCCGGTCCTGGTGTAGTCCTGGTTTAGTCCTGGTCTGGTCCTGGTCTGGTCCAGGTTTAGTCCTGGTACAGTCCTGGGGATCAGCTCAGTGGTTGCGGCATGTATGTATTTATACTCCACTAATGATTGTGGCTCCTGGGCCAGGTTCTCTGGGTTTTTCTCTTTCTTCTCCTTCTTCTGGATAATAACGTCGCTACGTCACTGGATTGTCGTCCCTGATTGGTTGATCCGACACAAAAAGTTCAGCATTTTCAACTTCTAGACGTGCGTCCAGGGCATCGGCGGCAGAACGCTCAAGACCCGCTGCGTCGACGCCAGATTCGCGCTGTGCTGACGCCCAAAGACACGCCGCAAAACTCCCTAGACGCGTGTCCAATAGACTTTGCATATACACGTAAACTGGACGTCTGAACGGGTCTTTAGCCTAACCCTTTACACTGTAGTTTGAGAATAACAGACACAGACACAGAGTGGGCCTCACCCCCAGCAGCTGCATGCGGAGCTCTCGGTCCTCTTCGTCTTGGTCCTTGTACTTCTCTTTGATTTTCTTCAGCTTGTTCTGCACAAACATACGCACACACACAAACACCAGGATCATGTAGAGTGGGTTAATATCAACCTTTTAAGACCAAAATGACAAGGATTTACAGAGCGAGGGGCAACGTTTTTAAAATACAAATACCCAAGAAAATTTCTTATTTGGAACATGGCCACTAGAAAATGTCTAGAAAAAACTGCTGGACCAGGTATCAGCTCTGGCCATAATCTGGTTAAACCCATGAATTTCTGCAATAGACTCTATTCACACTTACGTCACAAACCAGGAAGACGTTTGGAAACATGCGATGACAACGTCCAGTGTAGTTCCAGACACTGGTCTCGCCGACCGACTGTGATCAAACCCACTAAAATAAATGTGATCAGTGGAAAAATGAAGACTGCATAAGTAAGAAGCTGTTTGGAATCATCTTGAATTTGGCACCTCTTCTCTTCTAATCGCATGTACCCAGTGCGCTCAGAGTTTTATGTAGGTGGGGAAATGATGAAAACTGAGGTGTGGTTGCAATTGTTGATTAGTCGAACATAACAGAACACTACAATGACATGTAGGTGAAGAAAACTGGGACATTTTCAAATTTTTCCTAGATTGTGTTAGATTTACTACTGTGAGCAGAGCCCGCTGGAAGTTGTCATTGCAAGTTTCCAAACGTCTTCCTGGTTTATGACGTAAGTATGATTAGAGCCTATAAGACCATGTTGGCCCAGTTTGTAATGTTTGAATTTACATAGCTGCTCTGCTCTGTATAAAACAATTTTAAGGAAATAAATGCCATTTTCAGTTTCTGCACTGATAGTGGGTAACATCAGGTATGGACAGACACTTAAAGTGGAACTAAACACTGAATTGACCTTTTCTTGCTACTAAACGGTGCATATGGTGTTTGAATAGCAAAAGACTGCCCTGATACAAACGTCGGACTGCAGGGGTGGAGTTTGAAGTGTGGAAATCTGTTAGACCTCCTCACTCTCCCCTTTAGTCCTCCAGGTACTGCCCAGTTTAGCAGCTCTATTTGAAATGTGGTTGTGACTGGAGTTTAGTTCCACTTTAAAGTCAAAGTATCGAAATCTATATCAGAAGTGACAAAGTTGGAGTGGTGCGTCCCCAATTACAATGAGATTTTAGTTTTGTTTTACTGATATTTGATTTAAATGTATCGGTGAACTTTACAAAACATTACATAAGTCTACCAACACTAGACTTACAGGGCAGACAACTCTTTTACCGTTTTAAAAAAAAGTCTCCATGTCACATTTGTTTGGTTAAGACAATGAAAAGGCCCATTGTTCCTGTTCAGTCTCTTACCTTCTGCCCCCTCTTGAGTGGCTGCTGTGCGGGTCCTCCTCCTCCTCCTCCTCCTCCTCCTTTCTCCTTCCGCTCCTCATTCCTCTCTCCGGTCGAGCCCTCGTTCCTCTCTTTCACTTCGACATCCTCCCCGTCCTGCTTCTGCTTTTTCTTCTTTTCCTCCCTGGACAATCAAATAACACAGAGACTGGGTGAATAAAAAGTCTACTATTGTTATCAGATCAATTTTATCCTTTTTTTTGGGGGGGGAGTTGTGTTTTGTTTCATTCACACATGTTTAACACACAAACCCTGTGGATTTAGGCTGAGTTCTTCCCTTAAACAGAAACACGGAGCATCAGGGAATCATTTGGATCATTTAATTTTCTACTGAAGTAAAGGTAAAAAGGAGCTGTTCACTTGAAAACTATCAATTGGAGATGTAGACAGAATAATAATAAAGGGTTACTCAAACATGTGTGAATGAAACAAAACAGAACTGCAGGTTTGTTTTTGAGGAGGTAACAACATTCTAACACGACTAAAAGCTCACAAGAGTCAGTTTTTGGTAATATGGGAGCTTTAAACCTTGAACTGATTTTTGTTAGGGTTTGCAAATAGAAATTTCTCATCCTGAACCTTTGGCTTAAAGGTGTGTAATGTTTCTGGTGGAGAATATTCTATTTTATGACATTAAAGGTGTATATTACAGGTACATGTCAGATCTGTGGAGAGGTGGCCCCCACTTTCAAGAATGCATATTGTCAAAATCCCATCAGCGGAGGCGATCGGCTCGGCTGCGGCGTGTATATATTTCTCTTTCTTACTCTGATAATGACAGTGTCAAACTCATTTTGGTCCGGGGGCCGTATCCAACCTACTTTGATCCCAAAGGGGCCGGATCAGAAAACTCATGTCATATAAACCCCAAAAATAACAATAAGTTCAAATATTTGTGCAGAGAAACACAAATCTATTACAGAAATCTTTTTTAATTGATGAACTCTTTCTTATTATAATATTATAATATTATGAACAACCTGAAACTTTAAGAAAAATTCAATTTCAACGCAATGTTCTAACATGAACTTGTAAGTAAACAGGAATAAGTAAATTTTTGTTGTAAAATCCTGCACTCGGCTCCACTTTTCTCATGTTGGACATTTTTCTGATGAGGGTGTCACGGTCGACAGTCAAAACGATCGTCTTTTAAGAGCGTTTGGAAAGAGACAAGTCTTCATTTGTGCTGCTCTGGTGGGAGGGGCCACGTACAGAGACGCTGGAGACGCTGCTGTGATAAACACCACAGAAAATTAACAATATTTTAATAGAAAATATGATTAAAATATTTTTGTAGAAAATCAGTCAAGGGCCACATTAAAGGTCTTGGAGGGCCGGATCTGGCCCCCGGGCCTTATGTTTGACACCTGTGGTCTATGTAGTTCCCTCTGTATTTTTTAGCTATTACTGCACCATAACTCTTAATTTAAGCAAAGAGACTTGTCATTCGATATATTGTGATGGTCCACGATATTATTGTGAGAACTTTGACGATACGATATCACGACATTTCGCCCTAGTGTATCGCCCATTTAAATTTGTTCATCACCCTGGAGATATGCAGCCGGCAGCACAAAGTTACATGTCGTGTCTATGGAGAGGTGAGCCCACTAAGAGTAAGTAAGAACACGTTATTCACCCTATCTTCACCAGTAACTGAATACATGCAAGATAAATAAGATAAAGCCAGACTATGTAAGATTTGAGACAAAGCAATAACTTCTCCAGGCATGTGGCCCTTTAAATATTCAGATAAATAATGATCCTCACCTCCTCTGTTTGGCCGTCATGTGTTTTCGTCCTTGTGAGTCACTTTCAACCTAAAAATCAACAACATTTAAGCACATACAGTATATATTTATTACATTCCTTCATACAGAATTAAAACCATGCACTCTTACCTTAGGCACGGCTTCTGTTTTAAAGCTGGGGTTTGGCACATTTCTGCAAATACAAGAAAATATTGGCGATTTTAACAGAATTTCCCACTGTGTTGAATATCGTCCTACTTGCGCTTTTGAAGTTTCATTGTCATTTTTTAATCTGATGCACACGTTGGATATAAGCAGACAGAGTTTTCACCTGTTGGGCTGTAAATGTGACAGGGAGATGGTGGTGTCTGGAAAGCTGATCTCTTCTTCTTCTTCTTCTTCTTCTTCTTCTTCTTCTTCGTCTGCTTCCTCTGTCTTCATCTCCTCTGTCTCCTCCTTGGTTTCCTGTGTCCTCGTCTCCTCGTCTTCCTCCTCGTTGGCGTCCTCTCCGTCCTCCTGGCGGACCTCTGCGGGCTCTCCTCTTGAGTCGTCTCCTGGTTCAGTCTCCTTCTGTTCCTGCTCGTCGTTACTGCTGTCCCCACCTACAAAACACAACACGGCACAACATTACAATTCTATACATTTAGGGAATAACAAATAAAGATGGAGTTCAGTACAGATAGAAAACAACCTCTGATTTTTTACATTTTCATATTTCTAGAGTGCTTTTCTACCTTAAGGCACTCAAAGATCTTTATTTACATCAAGGAACCACTCACATTCACACACTCACTGATTTTGGGTCTTGCCCATGGACACAACATCTGCCCCGCCAACCTGTGAGTTAGTGGATCTGATCATTCTCCCGGTGATATTTATGCTGAGAGCGGGATTCGAACTGCCAAACATCCCGAAACAGCACAGTGTGGAGTGAGATTGAGGCTTTAAAAGAGCGAGGGCTTTGTGTCTCCAGTGTTCGCCTTGCTCCCCCTGGAGGCTGACTCTGTTGCTGCACGACACTAGGTATTTGCGAGTACCTCACGATACAATACATATCCCGATCATCTTGATACGATACATGTCCTGATACATGAATATCCTTTAAACTGGTGTTAAAAGTTTACCAAATGTGTGTTTTAATTATGTAAAACACGGGTCTCCAGCCTGTAGCTCTCCACCCCCTTCCAAGTCGCTCACCAAGAGTAGGGATGTGCAGAAATATTGAAATATCAATATATTGTATTGTTTTAATGTGATGATACAGTATCGATATTGGGGACTGCTGTATTGATATATCGCCAAGAGTATTTTTTGGTATATTTTACTAAATTATTTTGTTACAGCTACAGTATTGTTGTTTGTTTAGTGGAAGGAAACTCGTTTATGCAACACATTTGACATTTTCACTGTTTTGAGTATTAAAATGTTTTTCATATGAACTTTGCACAAGCCATGATTTAGCCTTTATTTTTTATTGAACTGTATTGAATAGATTTGACATATATCGTATCGAACCGAAAGAGCACTGTATCAAGATATGTATCGTATCACAACTTCTTAATGATACCCAGCCCTAGCCAAGAGATTACTGTCAAGAAGTCATGATTGCCATATTGATATTCTGAGTACAACCCTACAGGCCACAGAGGATGAACACTTTTGTCCTGAGAGATGTCACTCACCTCAAACTGGATCTATCCAACCTGACCAGTCCTCCTGCTGTTGTATTATATGTGCTCAATGTGCTTACATTCCCACTCGGGGATAAACAAATAAATTATATTCTATTAAATTTGCAATACAATGTATATCAAGGCTGCACATCAGTCACAGCCAAAAACAGGTCACTTTTTTTTATGATCAGTCATTATTTTTGATAGAACTAGTTTTTTTGCAATTAAAAACAAACACATCTGGCTATCTTACTTTCAGTTTTTAAAAAGGCAGTAGCTCAGTTGGTAGAGCATTCGCCCACTGATCTGAAGGTTGGTGGTTCGATTCCAGCTCTCGACTTAAACATCTCAGGTTGAGCGGTCAGATCCACTGACAGATTCCAGCTCCCACAGATGAATGCTGTCGTTGTGTCCTTGGGCAAGACACTTAACCCACCTTGCCCACAGTGTCTGTGTACACTGGTGTGTGAATGTGTGTGTGAATGGGTGAGTGGTTCCTTGTTGTAAAGCGCTTTGAGTGCCTTGAAAAATGTGACCATTTACCATTGTATAAGCAGCTTTTAAGATCTCTTTTGTGCCGCCTTGTTTTCATCCACAAAATAGGCAGTCATTCTTATCAACGCTTATTAATTCATTGCAGTGAATAATCAGGATGCTCAGAATGTATAAGGTAAGTGAGGAGTGACTTTGGACCACGTTTCAAAATGGTTGTTTTTCATGATTTGAAGACAGTAAAAATCAAGTGCCATTTAACAGAGAATATATAGTCATACTCATTCTTCCAAAATTTAATCTCTGCTTCAAACAAGCTTAAACTTGATTAAAAAACCACCAGCTCCATTGACGATTTGAGGTCCATACCATCCAGCTCGTCCTCGTGCTCCTCTAGAAGCTCCTCAGTCCTGGATGAGACGTCCTGCAGATCCTCCTCTAGAGTCTTCACTTTACGCTCTCCTCTGTGCCGGAGCACGCTCTCGTCGTCCACCTGCGCAGGAGCATGGGTGTTTAAGGTGCAGTGTGGAATTTTTATGATGGACAGGCTGTTGTCTGCTTGTTTCCATGGAGATGTTCTTGCTTGCCTGAAATTTTTCATAGTGTCGCATTAAACCTTAAACCTAAATAATCTTAGGTTTGATTTTATTATTTTTGTGAGCTCCACAGATTGGACCTGTAACTCGACCTGGTAGATCAACTGTCTTCATGGAGACAGATAAATTTAATGCCATACTAAACATTCCAGGCAAACCAACGAACTTCATTATGGAGACATTTTTCTTACCAGAAAAGTTACACAGTGCACCTTTAACATTCATAAGTAAATAAGTCATGCCCAAAGCCACACTATGGTATGTCGTCTTTTTTACCTTGAAGAGGAAAGCAAAGCCCATGATCAGGTAAGATGGAGGGAGGAAGTTCTTCTTTCCTTAAAAATGTAACAACATATGAATATAAACTCATTTAATTTACTTGAAAGTGAAAGTGAAAGTTGACTCTGGTGGACTGACCTCTGATCATGAAGCTTCCAGTGGTCAGATATTCTCCTGTGGGCGCCGTCTTGGACACCTGGAGGACAACACAACATTAGAAAGCTTATAATAGAACAATGTACCAATGTCTCCTTGTTTTTAAAATAAATCAGTAAAATCAGATACTAATTGAGACTTAATACAGTATCAAAATTAGACACTCATTTGAACAGGTATCAATGCTGAAAAAGACAGAAATGAACCTTTCCTGAATAGTTTTAGAATGATCTTGAGCTGTATCAGAACAAGTATAAGAGCAAATAGACTAGTATACGCCCGTGGGCACTATGGAACCTACTGGACCACTGAGGGATTACACAGATACAAGGACACATGGGAACAGAAAAGAAAGTACAACCCATTAATGTGGAAAATCACATTCTACATGATGTGTTTTCAAAACTGACTCTATTTTAGTATTGTGGCAACACTTATTAGTTCAAGATAATATAAACCAAATGAAATATAATCATGTATGAGTAGTATGCTGACTGAAATACTCAGGGTAGAGTGTATAGTGTTATTGCATTAAAGGAGCACTGCATTATGTGCGGTTCACCTGAAATGTTCCACAATATGATATAAAATATATCTGTCTCTAGTCAGATCTGTCACAGTAAAAATGCATGTTTTTAGTTTTAAGACAAAAAAGCACCTGTAATTGAATAAATAAAACATAGATACATTTAATGCCATACTGTGGAACATTTTAGGCAAAGATACAGAGACAAGCAGGTGGTGAACCCTCCATCAGAAAAGTATAAAAGATTAATAATGTGTTATTGCAAACCACTTTATGTTTTGAAATTCATTTTTTATGTTTCTCAGACATAACCTTCTGCCATAATCACAATATAACCATGTTGCCTTTTGGGTAATCTACAGCATTTTTAATCCTCATCTTTAAAATGGAAATATGAATGAATAATATTTATTATCAAATGAACAATTCTGCTGTTGTTATTTTATGAGTATCTCATGTCTTGTTTTGGTGATCACACTGAATCACATAGAGCTGGGAGTCAAATGTTCTAACAGAGAAATACTGTACATGAGTGTAGTGTTTCTGGGTGCAGACTGGGTCTGTGCCTTACCTGGTGATGGTGGACCCACCAGGCGCTGGTGATGATTTTGGCGTCCCAGGCGGCACTGTAGCACACAGCCATGGTGCCCGCCTCAGTCAGGGTGCGAGGGGGGATGGGCTCTCCTGGAGAACAGGTCACAGTGAGAGCATGAGCGAGAGAGGCAGGAGAAGAACTAACACCATCTAAAGTAAATCCACAGAAGATGCATCACCTGTGGGGTTCTTGATGACACAGCTCGTGGCTCCATGGAGGTCAGCGTGGACGTAAACATCACCTGAGAATGAGATTACAGTAAGATACAGTGAGAAAGAAAGAAAAGAAGAAAATACATCAAATATAATTTGTGAAAAGTCTCAGTTTCTCAAGTTCGGACCACTGCAAGCTGTTCAAAATGTTTTCACGGGCTTAAGACAAACCAAACCAGGACCAAAACATTACATTTTAAAAAAAAGTTGTCTTTTTTTTGTGAGCAGGTGCTATATGTTTATGTATGAAAGTTAAATAACAGCAATGAAACACCCTGATCCAGTTACTTTTAGCTCAGTGTGACGGCTCAAATGTTACACTTAAACTGTCACAGAAGGTGAAAAAGTGTCAGACCGGCTCTGAGGTAGCGCTTAACGATCATCTCGTTCTGCTGCTGGTCTCGTCCTGCGATCACCAGGTAGTTCTCAGAGCTGATAAACCACAAGAACTTCTCAAACCTGCCAACAGAGGGAGACAACGAGGCGGAGGAAGTTTTAAGTACAATAAGGGTATATGAATGAAATAAATACGTAAAATTAAATAATAAAAATAGACATATGAACTGACCAGTACACCTTCCGAGCCTTCTGAATAGTGGTGACAGTCTGAACTTCTTTTAGCGTCTGTTGGGTTTTCCTCTCTGCAGATTTCATGGCCTAAAATAAAATAAATAAATAAATATAAAAATATAAAAATAACAATGTGTACAGGTGTGTGCATGACAAACTGACCTTATCTGCCGCCTCTATGGTTTTCTTCTCTTTATTTTGGGCAGTCCGTTTAAAGTCATAGTACCTGACACAAATACAGATGCTGTTACTTGAGTATGAGAAAAAAAACTTAGATGTGTCCTCTGTCTGCAGTAATTGTAGTACTTTTTGTAAGACTATAGAGTACTACTGTATTTTTTGGACTATAAGTCGCACTTTTTGTCATGGTTTGGGTGTTTATAGTGACTTATACTCCTGTGTGACTTATATAATAAAATGTTGACAGTGAAGCGTGGAGAGGCTCTAGTCTTGTGTGTGAGTATCTGCTGCTCCTGTTCCTCCTGTACCACTCTCACTTGGCTCTACTGCGCATGTCTCCTGCAGAAAGAGCCTCCATCCTGTCTGTATCATGTCAGTCGATCGCACCATTACTTCTGAACCACTGAAACAACAACTTAACTTAAACAAACTTATTAAGACAACTGAGAAGACTGAACACAAATGCAAATGAAATCTGCAGCTGAAAACGGTAATCGAGCAGCAGAAAGAAAGTTTGGACTGAGCGAGAAACTTGTGACACCGGGAGGTTGCACCATGAAACTTTCCTGAAGTCACTGGATGGATGGACAAAGTCTGGACTTCAGTGACACCGAAATCATCCTGTCGGGATTCAGAAAGGCCCGAATAATTCTAACTGGAACTGATGCTGAGTCTGACGAAAACAACACAGAAGAGGAAGCGGCGCTCTGTTTACCTCCGGAGGTCGAGGAGTTGCTCAGAAGTGACACCGAGGATGAAAAATTGAATGGATTTAGTGATTTGGAGTAAGATGGAGATTTGGTAAACTTGTTCTGTTCTGTTGTTTATGTTATAGTTTATCTGAAGAACTGTTCATATGTGACGTTAACAGTCTGTTGTTCTCTCTTCTATTGTTATGACTAGAAGTTGACTTTCAGCAGGAAATGTTGGTTCCTGATCTGATTTTATAAAATAAATTTCCCCCAAAAGTGCAACTTATATTCCAAAAAATATGGTACTAAAAAATAACACGTCAAGACAAACTTTTCTCAAAATAGATAAAACCGTTACAGATGGCCACCTTTAGCTCATGTGCCAGTTAAATCTTTAGTATAAACAGTACATATGAAAATAATCGTACTTTTTAGCATTGGCGTAGGCAGACAGGCCGATGTCCACGTCCACCAGCACAGGCTTGTTCTTCTGGAGCTTCTTCTGACTCTTGTTTTTGCCTTTCTTCCCCTTCTCCTCCACCACCACCTCCTCCTCCTCCTCTTCATCCTCCTCAGTTATGTACGGGTTCCTGCGAAAAACAACATTAAATCTACCGTCGCTCTGATTTGACAATTCAATTTTGTCATTTAAGCATGCCACAAATGTAAAGGAATCGGACTCAGGAATCAGGAATCAGGCAGCAGAACAGTCAGTAACACTTAATAATAATAAAACACTTAAAAACACTTTCACTTGACTAAACCATGAAAGACTAATTCAGAAGGGACAAAACATTTCCTGACGCATTCAGAGCATCCCAGTTATTCACTACGATAAGTTTACAAGGGCTTTCCACAATTTTCAGAGACCAGAGGGGAATTTCGCTATCAAGGTAATGCAAACAAACATGTCAACAGTGCACATCCTGATTCAATGCTTTATAATTAGATGCAAAAAGTCTCATTTGTACCCCAAAAGCTGATTTTACAGTTTATCTCTACAGGTACAAACTAAACTACATGAAAAAGTGCTTAGTCTAGTCTTAGTCTATCATAATTAATACTCTAAACTTAAGTCATAAGTTCTTAATTAAGTATTTATTAAGCCTGGATCAGTCTTTGTTCATGCTGAATTAACGGTGCATTGTGTAACTTTTTTGGTGGAGGGTCTGTCAAATGCTTTTCTCCATGGAGATCTTATTGCTTTGGAATGTTTCACAATATGGCATAAAACCTTTCTATCTTCATGGAGCCCAAACTAGTCCAAGTTACAGGTCAGATCTGTGGAGAGGCGACCCTGCTCACAGTCTCAGGGATTTTTGAGCTATAAAATCCCCGTATTTTGATAAATGTAAGGCATATTGTGTAACATTCTAAATAGAGCAATAACATCTCCATAGAAACAAGCAGGTGACGGTATAAAATATAATCTATCCGAACATATTCACACATTTCCATCTTCGTAGGCCTGTCTGTACCGACCTGAGCAGCATGGTGATGTGGTTGGTCTGTAGTTTGAGTTCTTTGATGGCACAGGCCACAGGGTCCCCGGCCTCCTGCGCCTCCTTCACGATGGCCCCGATCTCGGTCCAGTCCACCTGATTGGCCAGAGCGCTGCGCACCACCTGCAGAGCCCGGTCCACCACGGGCAGGTTCATCTCCACCAGCTCCCCCTTCACACGGTCCACCTCCTGCAACACCAGGCAACGCTTAAACTACCAGTAATCTTAAAAAAGCATAACATGGGTGTGGACATGAGCTGACGGTAACATTTCGAACTTCATTTTGATACTAAGGAAAAGTTTCAATACAAAACACTCATTTCAGTACCACAATCATAAAGGAAAAAAAACAAGACTAAAATAAAAGCACGTCTTTGTTTCATTTTAGATGTTTTCATTGCTTTGAATTGGTTTTAGTGATTTCTCTTTGTTATTTGGGCTGATTGGGACCTGACGAGCACACAAACAAATAATTATATTTTAATATTTTTATATTTATATGTCCACATATGTTATATAAAACATTAGTTTTATGTTTTAATCATTCTGATGAAACACAATATAGTCACAACTGAATAATGATTTACAAAAACTATAAACTAAATGCCTAAATAACTTAAGGAGGCTATGAAGTTGCTGATACGATACATACCTCGATACAGTGAGCTTTCAGTTCGATATGATATATTTAAAATCGATACGATATGGTTCAATAAAAAATAGAGGCTAAATCGTGGCTGTGATACTAAAAAACTTTGTTAAACCACTTGTTGTGCAAAGTTCATATGAAACAAACATTTTAATCATAGAAAGAGAGAAAATGTCAAAGGTGTTGTATAAAGAAACTTCCTTCCTCTAAACAAGCAACAAAACTGTAGCACTGTAGCAAAATAATTTAGTAAAATATACCAAAAAATCCTCTTGCCAATATATCAGTAGAGCAGTCCCACGAAATCAATACTGTATCATCACATTAAACAATATGATACATCCATATTTTTGTCCACAAACCATATTCTCTTATTCGGCCTAGAGGAGGTCCTCCTCCTGCTTGTTTCCATGGAAATATTGTTCCTTTGGCTATAATATTCCACAGTATAACATAAAACTTATCCATCTGAATGCCGTACAGACTGTATATAGAGGGGGACTAAGGGAGTTTGATGTCATCAGCTCCAATCCAATGAAGCTGATGAGGCCTGGGGTAAATTTTGGAGCTGAGTTTAATCATATTAGCAATAGGATTTTATTTATGGACAAAATAGTGAAATCAAAACACAAGGATCATGTAGAGTGGGTTAATATGAACATTTTAAAACCAAAATGGCTCAGAGCAGCAGTTACAGAGAGAGGTGGAGGTGGATCCAGAGTCGATGGAGCCGGAAGCGTGCCCATGCTCACTTCCTATTTAGAAAGCAGCTACGTCCATTTACATCTACAGTCCATGGTTTTAACTTCATACTATAGTAAGTATATCAGTAGAGACTGTACGTTTTAATGTTATAATAACTCTGATATAGATTAAATCCATTATAAAACTATTCAAGCAAGAAAAAAAACTTATCTTATTTATGTGAATTTTACTTGTTCTTTTCATATTAGTTTTAGGATTTGGTTATTGATTTTTTGACAACCCTACCTCCTGGCCTAAGCCTAAATCTTGAAGAATATATTAAAACTCAGTAGAAAATTTAGCACCAGTGTCTTTTTATTGCAAATGGGGGATCAGGAGTCAGAAACAATCTTAAATATGGAAGTGGGTCTAACTTAACGGCGTGTGGGGGGGTATGAGGGAAGAGCCACACTGAGCCCAGGCTTGTGTGCTGTTGCCTGGAAACCTCCCTCTGGATTTTCTGTAGTCTGGATGTTCTGGATGTGTTTTTCCCCCAAAGGAACTAAAGGCAGTGTATGAATAGAGCAGCACTGAGGCCCGGCTCCACATCAGGGAGGGCAGGGCTTTAAACAGAACATGTGAGCGCTGTTCCAGAGGGCCCCAGACATTTGAATGGGAACACAAAGCTCGGTCTTGTCTCCCTTTGGAATAGTTTACAGCCAAGTGAGTTGTGGTGATAGAGGAGAAACAGTGTGTAAGCGGTCTCCAGCTAAACAGAGGAGCCACTGGTACCTGTGTGAAGCTGGCCCACCATCGAACACAAACCTACACAAAAACTATATCAATCGTTTGGGCTTCATTAGTGCTGTTTTAGTTTTTGAGAAATTAACGATTCTTTTATAGGTCAAATTATGGTCAGCCAGCCCCAGGAAGCTTAAAAATGCTCTAAAATGGCCTGAAATTATGTCAATTGTTTGTGCTGCAAAAAGTTTTGTTTGTTCCATTATGGTTCTTAAGATGTTGACAGTTTTATTTTCAGCCGATGACGTCATCCAGCCCCTTCAATTTGTTAAACAGCCTCAAAACAGACAGAAAATTATACAAAACCTGTGTATTTCATTTGTGCTGTTTAGTACTGTGACAGTTTTCATTTGTGGTGGCTTTTATCGTTTATCTTCAAAAGGTTTGCGGAGTTTTGCTAAAGCCACTGCCGTCACTTAAGTGGAAATGACGCCAAATAATTTCTGCAAAAATACGAATTCATAATTTTAGAAATATACTAGCGCAAATGAAAATCATCAGCAGTTCACGCGTGACTGTCCTGACAACTGTGAGCTCCTCTGACCTGAGCCTGGTGCAGCGCCTCCAGCCTCTGCTCGTGGTCCTTCTTGACGTTCTCCAGCTTCTTCATAGCCTGTTTCTCCTGGTGCAGGGCCTTCATGTCAATCCTCTGGCTCTCCATCTTAGAGAAGAACTCATCCACCGCCTAACAACACAATATATCATCATCATCATCAGTAGGCCGGCTAAGATAAATACTAGATCAAATACTAGATCAGCTTATGGTTCAGTGAAGGACAGATGGAATGATTTGGGGGTTTACTTTTTTGTACCAGTGGAGAGTTTTCTGTAATTTAATATTTTATCTGTGTATAGCTTTAATTTGCTGCAAAACTTGAATTTCCCTCGGGATCAGTAAACTATCTCTCTGTCTGTCTCTGTCTATATATCTGCCTACTTCTCTCTCTGTGTCCATCACTCTCTCTCTATCTCTTTCTCTGTCTATATTTCTTTATCTCTCTGTCTGTCTGAGTCTGTCCTCACTCTCGTCACTTCGTACGACGTAAACCTGATGACAGAGTGAGGTCTCACCTTGTCAAAAGACTCAAACTCCAGGTGTGGGCTCTGGGCGTGCTGCTTGAAGAGAAAAGGGTGGAACTCATCATATCTGGAAGGACACAGAGGGATTACTATAGTTACACAAAGACAAACAACTGTGCTCTCCCACTGTCTAAACATGTCCTCTAAGTGATTTTTTTTGCTTATGGGTCAGAGAGGTTTTACACTTTTCAAATGCTCAAAAAATGTACCAAATATACCAGAAAAATTTGTACATTTTTGTGTTTATTTTATCATTTCGTATAAGCCCTTTGAAAAAGATTCTTCTAATACATCCTAAAATTACATTTTAAAAATGTAATTCCGTGCAAAAATGTAATTAAATTTAAAATAACTTATATTATGGAAAATGATGAAAACACAAACTGAAATCTACAAATGAACAGTAGGCCATTAAAAATGTTTTTTTTTTTTCTTAAAGTTTTAAAGAATTTCACAGTTTTCTCTAATACGGCATAAACTCTCAACTCTGGTACCAATTTGTATTCATAAAACACTTCAAAATTGGATAAAACTTAAGCATGTTAGCACTTTTCCTCTTTAAATTCAAGTTCTTATTTTAAAAACATATGTTTTATGTCAAAACAAACTTTTTCTGACAAATTTCACTGTAATATCAGCGTCAAAAACTTATAAAAGTGAATGTATTCTGTAAGATGTAAGATGTAACACAGCAATTAGTGACATTTACTCAAAAAAATTGTATGGATCTACAGTGGGTGAGTTTTTTGCTGGATTTAATTAGTAAGTAAGTAAAATAACAGACTTAAACACAGATTCAATCATTCAGGCTATATTCAATGAGAGCAAAAACAATGAGGCTTCACAGATTAATTTTAAATGATTTGAAAACATAAAATAAGGCAGAATACCAAACATATTTTCACTAATAATTGAAAATATCGCTTAGTACACACGTGAGCAGTTCTTCAGTGGGTTTACCCGGGGTCAGACTTGGTTTCTTCTCTATTTTCTGAATGATGTAACCCTTAGAGACAAAACAAAGACATTAGCATTTCCTGTGGTCCAACTTCCTCCCTCATAAACACCTACACCTACTTTGCCGCTGAAGTTCGCCGTCTTCTCCATGTAGACCTCGGCCATCTCCAGAGCTTTGAGGATTGTAGGAGCCACTGAAGAGAAGAGAAGCATTACATTTTCATTCATCATTTCCATTTAAATGTTGCCTGAACAGTCCAGTGTGATCTCTCTTTATATTTTTTAAACAGAGGGATGTCAGTCTGGTCAACATGCCCTCCGTCGATCCTCATACCAGATTCAAACTCTGCCATCGCCCAATCAGATTTGTTTATTTCAGTGACACATGAAGCAAAAGTCATTGGTCACCTTTCGTTTAGAACAAAATCAAACTTCTCTCACCTCAGATCTGGGCGGGAGGATTATTTTGCTGTAGTACCAGTGAGTTGCCACTAAGCCGCTCTAAAGGTCGCCACACACTACAGGATTTTTCAGTCTTAAACCATTTTTAACCACCACACCGCAAACACGAGGAGAATCTTTTGAGACTTAAAATCTCTGATAGCAAAGACTGGAGCGGGATACGTCTGCAGACCACAGGATATAAAGTTGTCTACAGTAAAACCACTCGCTTTGAGACTCTTAAGTGTTCAAAAGATCAGAGCTCTGTACTTCTAGTTTAGATACAAGTCAAAACTGTGTTATTATTATTTGTAAAATGTGGTGCAAAACTTTAAATGTATGATTTTTAAAGCATAAAAGACTGGCGATAAAGTCCACAGGAAGTAGAGTCACTCGATCCGTGCGCTGTGTGGATGTAAACAGACACATTTGACGAACTATTCTCACATTTTTACTTTTAAAGAACGCCTCAAACTGGATTAACAGCGTGGTTTTGTGGACGGGATGTCATTATTTGCGGACAACAAATTCTATGGATAATGTGGATGAGATGCTGCACTTTAAATTTACAACTTTACAAGAGGTGAGTAATAAAGTCTTCTCATTATTTTCACTTTATCCTGAGTTTGTACCTTGCATCTCTGTGTCTGTCCCTCCTCTGCCCCTGACGCTCTGTTTTATTGGCTGTTATCGTAGAGTTGCTAATGTTTGGTGGTTATGATCTGACAGAGCAGCTCAGAAACACACTGACTAACACACATGAGGAGCAGCAGCTTCAAAATCGCACACAACGACCAAAAGCCGAGTTACGCCTCCATGAACTCAGGAAGAAGCAAATCGCAGCCAAAATGAGGCAAATTCTCCTGTCGTGTGTAGCGGCCTTAAGATATGAACACCCTCTCCAGATCAGATTAACAGAGTTTAGTGTTTCGCTCATTGATTCTACAGAAATCCACCATGTTTGTTCAGTCCCTGTGACAGTTTTTCCTTTCTTTTTTCCTCATAAGCAGCAATATTTGTTATGATAAGGATAGTTCATGCGAGTCCCTGATTGGCTAATTCAGACTCACATGTTTAAACTATTGCAGAAGTGTGCGGTCTGGATCTGGGTTTACCTTCTGCAGCATCCACCTTGTTGTCGACTTTAGCAGAGCCGGGCAGTCCAGCTTCAATAAGACAGTGTTCGATCAGGGTAGCTCCATATGCTGCAAAAAATAAATACATAAATATGAAGAAAATACAAATACAACACATATTCTACATATAATGACACCATCAATAATCTCTAGTCTATTATTATAGAGATATTAAAGGACACTTACGCAGATGAGGGTTCAACACTCTCTTCAGCTGCTCCCCGTTTGGTGCTTCCCTCAGGATTTCTGTCAGTCTGTTTACAACATAAACAAAGTACATTTATTTGTACAACACAAAGTCATTTAAAGTGATTTACTGAATAAGAAAAACATTAAAATCACAATTAAACAAGTCACAACAAAAATAATCATCATAAAATGAAAAGTGTCATATGCAGCTAAACTGTGTGTGTATATGTGTGTATATGTGTGTATGTGTGTTACGTGTGTGTGCGTTATGTGCATGTGTGTACATGTGTGTGTGTACGTGTGTGTTTGTGTAAGTGTGTGCCGGTATGTGGTCATACCAGCTTGTCAAAGCCTGATCTCGTCAGATCTCAGAAGCTCAGCAGGGCCGGGCCTGGTCTGGACTTGGATCTAGACACTGGGAAAATCAGGAGCCATAAGAGGCGCCAGTCACAAAAACTGTTGTTGTTTCCTTAGGCAAGACACTTCACCCACATTGCCTAGTATGAAAGTGGTGTGTGTGTGAGTGATGGTGGTGGTTGGAGGGACTGATGGCGCTGATTGGCACGGCAGCTGCACTTCCATCAGTCTGCCCCAGGGCAGCTGTGGCTACAATAGTATTTTACCACCACCAGGTATAGAGTGAATGAATAATGCTGAAGAATGCTCTGTAAAGCGTCTTTGTGACAAAATGTCTGTGAAAAGCGCTATATAAATAAAGACTTACTTACTTATGTGTGTTTGTGTCTGTGTACGTGTGTGTGTGCGTCTGTGTATGTGTGTGCATGTGTGTGTTTGTGTACCGCTCAAGGCTCATGAGAGGTTCTGGGGGTCGGGCGTTCTCCACAGGGTAGCGTTCTCTCACGGCGATCTTCACGTCCTCGGCGTCGGCCGCACGGAAGCGCAGCAGGTTCAGGATCGTGTACTCGTAGTCCGCCAGGATGACGTTACCCTGGAAACAAGCGACGCATCCAGGCATTAAACACGACAAACATCCTGCTTTCTGATTGAACAATCGACTTGAAAAACAAAACACCAAATTATAATGTTTTTTGTCATTAAGAATAAATCAGCATTAGAATTATTACCAGTAAAAGTCAGAGGTGGAGAGTGTGGAGCAGGTGGGTGACATTTATTCACTTACATTTACTTGAATAACTTTAAGAAATGTAACTTTTCAGAGTACTTTTCTAGCAGCATACTTTACTCCTACTTGAGTAATATTTTTATTCAAGAAACAGTAACAAGTAAATTGAGTAAAAGTGACAAAAGCTTTATGTGACAATCTGAAGTGATTTAAACATTTGTGTTTCTTGCAGCTCCTTCAGATAGTATAATATAAAACGTCTTTTGTATCATTTCTAATCTTTTTGTAATAATTTTTTTGTTATTTTTATTTTATTGATTGTTTTGTTCCAATATTCCTCGTTCAATTTAATGTTGAAAAGAAAAGAAACAGGCTTCATTTAATGTCCTAACCCTAACCCTAAAATCCTTTTATTGCTGCTTCAATGACTGTTTTTCATTGTTTAAAACTTGAGTCATACTAATTGTTCAGAGACATGATCACTCAGCCAACAATAAAATATCCTCCTTAATGTTCAATAATGATCAAATCCACCTTTATTTTGTGATTTACGAATAATATCTATGGTTTTTGAGTTTTAAAATATGTGTCCCTAAAAAAAAAAAGTTTGGGAAACACTGATTTAGTTTGTCTCAGTTTTGTTTGTCCAGATTTTGTGCATGATTTAATGTTTATTAGACACTTCGATTTATAAATCAGTTATTACTTTTTAAGTTGCTCTTACTCGAGTAGTAATTTACCCAAAAACTTCTTTACTCTTAAATTTTGGACCACTACTTTGTACTTCTACTTGAGTAATATTTCAAAGTCACATTGCTCTTACTTCGGCTACTTTACCCACCTCTGGTAAAAACTAGATTTGATTTGAACATGTTTACTTCATATGTTGAGGGAGATTAGATCATGTTTATGAAATTTAAATCTAAATCTTACACACTTACCCTGTCATAAAGCTCTATAATGAGGTGGTACGCCGCTTCGTCAGAGCCAAACTGGATGTCCACGATCCTGTCCATGCCCAGCTGCTTCACCTGAGTCAGACGCCGCGACTTCAGGTGTTTGCGGCACTGACAAACACAGAGATCAGAGAAAATGTGTTTATAAATACAGATTATAAATGCAGTGTTGGGGAGTAACAGATTACATGTACCAGAGTTACGTAATCAGAATACAAATTATGAGTAACTGTATTCAGTTACAGTTACTGTTTCAGTGAGTGGTAATTGGATTACAGTTACTTTGTTGAAATAAATGGATTACACTGTGGTATTTTCCTGTTTTCACATTATTTTTATTAATTTTTTTGTTTGTTTTGTTTTTCGGTAATTCCACTCATTGCTGGAAACTAAACCAGGTCTAAACCAGGACTAAATCAGGACTAAAATCAGGTCTAAACCAGGTCTAAACTAGATCTAAACCAGGACTAAAACCAAGTCTAAACTAGATCTAAACCAGGTCTAAACCAGGACTAAACCAGGACTAAACCAGGACTAAACCAGGACTCAAACAGGATTTAACAGGACTACACCATGCTGCACGGATGTGTCTCCTCCTCTTCTATCAATAATATTTTTATATTTTTAATATGGTTATGTATCCTCGTCTTTGCTTCTCTACAGCAAATCAAGTAATCCAAAGTATTCAGATTACATTACTCACTCTAAGTAATTTAATGGATTCTGTTACAAACTACATTTTGGTGTATGTAATCTGTAATCTGTAGGGGAATACATGTTAAAAGTAAACTTCCCAACACTGCATAAATACAACATTCACACGTGGAGCTCAAAGTCCTCACTTTCATGGCGAACCCTGAAGGCATCATGTTCTTGGGCCATTCGAAGTCCGTGGAGTGGATCCTCGTCCCAGACTCTATGAGCAGAACGGCTTTAGAGTCAGGCCTGAAACAGAGTCAAAATTAAAGTCAGAGAAGAGTTTTATAAATCTGACACAAAAGAAATGTATTTGTTATATGTTGTTTTGAGAAATTGCTGTAAAAAGCTTGAATAAAGCAACTACATAAATTGTAATGTTTTTTTATTTGTTTGTTTTTTTTAATTGTTTCTGTCAAAGTTTGAAAAAAGTAATAAATAAATCTAAAGAAATACTATAACGAAACGCTATAATCGCAAAGTACTGTATGTGATAGTTACAGTCTGGATACAGTCAAAATCCGTTTTTTCAATATAAAACCAAAAATAAGAAAATGAAAAAACAACTGTTCTCTTCATTATTTGTCTCCAAAACAAAAAAAAGAAAAAAAAAAAAAAAAAAAACAGATAATGATTCGTTTGTTCATTTTTCAATTTTGTGTTTTAATGAATAATGGAAAAACAGATAACAGCTGTTTTTAGTGACTTAAACTGTAACAACAGACTTTTGCGCCGCATAAGGACTGAACCAGGACTAAACCAAGACTAAACTGAGACTAAAACAGGACTAAACCAGGACTAAAACAGGACTGGAACTGCCCTAAATCATCTCTAAACCAGAATTTAACCAGGACTAAACCAGGTCTCAGTCCTGGTCTCAGTCCTGGTCTCAGTCCTGGTCTCAGTCCTGGTCTCAGTCCCGGTCTGGTCCCGGTATCTTGATCACTCGACAGTATACGTGGGCACACGTCCAGGCCAGTCCCGACACTCCTGGTTTAGTCCTGATTAAGGACTGAGAGCGAGACCGGACCAGGACCAGGACCGGGACTGGGTTTCGACCTAGTTTAGAGCTGATTTAGTCCTGGTTCAGGGAAACGGCCATTATCCGTTTTTTCCAATACTCATTTAAACACAATATCGAAAACTGGAATATCAAATTGTTATCTGTTTTTTTTTTTTTTTTTTTTCGTTTTGGTTTTGGAGACAAATAATGAAGAAAACTGTTTGTTTTGTTTTCTTATTTTTGGTTTAATATTGAAAAACAAATGAACGAATGATACACAGATTAGTGAAGCATAAGGACAGACGGATTTCTTGAACCGTCAGCACACACAGTTTTGAAAACGTTGAAAACATTTTTTTATGATGGAGTAATAACATATTAACACGAGCACAAGTGATAAGAAGATATTATTAAAGAAACACTGCGTTATATTTCTGATAATGGGCACGTGCAGGACTCCAGGGAAAACATGTTCTATGGAGATAAAAAGGTTTCAAGTCACTCTGAACAGGACTTTAACCGTTCAAAAGATCATTTTGATCATTTCAGCTTCGTTCTTTTTAGACTTAGACAAACTTTATTGATCCACAAATGAATTATTTGAACACAGTAGCTCAACATCACAATATAATATAATAACAAAGAGTAAAAAAATAATAAATAAATATCTGCCCGTCTAAATAATTATATCTAAATCTATATCTAAATAAAATACTTTGACAGATCACGCAGGCAATAATATAATGACAAAGATCTAAAGCAAATCTCTTTATTTAAGTGGATGAGAAAAGACTTTAGTATAGAGTGACCACACGTCTTTATTTACAGGGTTCCCGCTCTTTTTCACTGACAAAATTTCAATACTTTTCCACGACTTTTTCATGACCTAAACTGAATTTTTTATGACTTTACGGCACCTACATGTGTAGAATTGATCAGAATTTCAGGGCTAAATATGAAATGTTAACCCTTTCCACTCACCTTATGGTTTGGAAATATAGTTTTTTAACATTCATAATACTGTCAATTAGGGCTGGATATCTTTAAGAAGTTGCTGATGTGATACATGCCTCGATATGGTGCTCTTTTGATTCAATACAATTCAATAAATGTTAGACTAAATCATGTCTGTGATACTAAAAGTCTTTGTTAAACCAATTTTTGTGCAAAGTTCATATAAAACTCAAACATTTTAATCATCAAAAAACAGCGAAAATGTCAAATGTGTTGCATAAATGAGTTTCCTTCTTCTAAACAAGCAAAAAACTGTAGCTGTGACAAAATCATTTAGTAAAATATACCAAAAAAACACTCTTGGCGATATATCGATACAGCAGCCCATGATATCGATACTGTATCATCACATTAAACAATACGATATATCGATATTTGTCAGTGCAGTTATCGTCATCTCTTTTAAACAAAAAGCGCAGACGTTCAGAAATAATCAGAACAGCCTCGTGAGAACTTAACAGAATGCTGGAGTTATGTGAAAGAGATACCAAAATTCCATGACTTTTCCAGGCCTGGAAAATGACACTTTCAATTTCCATGAACGTGGGAACCCTCTTTCTGTTTACGTGGGACAGTCCCAGTTTTGAGCCCTGTGTCCCCTGTCCCAGCAGATTTATACAAAACCAGTGATTTGTCAAAATGTTTTACAAGAAATGTCCTATATGTCAACATTTTTGACCAATCTGATCCCTGTCAACAGTAAAAAGAGGCATAAATTGTCATTTGTTTGGGTAAAATACAAAAAATCTGCTTAAAAACGACCAAAACAAAAAGAAAATGTGACTAAACTGACACATTTTAATCACGAATGGTCTCTGTATGACAATTTTCCTTAATTACACACTCGTTTCACAGTTTTATCATTACCAGCCACCAGTGTTGGGGAGTAACAGATTACATGTACCGGAGTTACATAATCAGAGTACAAATTATGAGTAACTGTATTCGGTTACAGTTACTGTTTCAGTGAGTGGTAATTGGATTACAGTTACTTTGTTGAAATAAATGGATTACACAGAGGTATTTTCCTGTTTTCACATTTTGGGCTATATCCCTTCTTTTTTTTTTTCTTCGGTAATTCCACTCTTTGTCGGAAACTAAACCAGGTCTAAACTAGATCTTAACCAGGTCTAAACCAGGACTAAAACCAGGTCTAAACTAGATCTAAACTAGATCTAAACCAGGTCTAAAACCAGGACTAAAACAGGTCTAAACCAGGACTAAACCAAGAATAAACCAGGTCTAAAACAGGATTTAACAGGACTAAATCATGCTGCGTGGACGTGTCTCCTCCTCTTCTATCAATAAGATTTTTAATACGGTTAAGTAAAGTCTGGGCTTTTTATTTTCTTTTATCAGACAAAACATTTTATGTTACGATGTCATCGTCTTTGCTTCTCTACAGCAAATCAAGTAATCCAAAGTATTCAGATTACGTTACTCACTTTAAGTAATTTAATGGATTACATTACAAACTACATTTTGGGGTATGTAATCTGTAATCTGTAGGGGAATACATTTTAAAAGTCACCTTCCCAACACTGTTTGTTTGGGTAAAATACAAAAAATCTGCTTAAAAACGACCAAAACAAAAAGAAAATGTGACTATACTGACATATTTTAATCACGAATGGTCTCTGTATGACAATTTTCCTTAATTACACACTCGTTTCACAATTTTATCATTACCAGACATCAAAAAACCGGGGATGTCTTTCTTTTATTTTTTTTTATTATGAAATTCTGGTTTCTGTCTGTTATTATGCACATCTGTCAAAAGTTTACAAGTCAATTCTTACTTTTGTAGTCGGATAAGGTACGTCTTGTTGTCGATGTCATACACGTTGTACACTCTCATCCCAATGTAACTGTAAAAATAAATAAAAATACGCATAAATGTGTATTTTATAAGCCGTTTACACAAATGTATGAAGCCACATTTAGCAACCTGGCTCAAAGTGCAACACATGTCACCTACTTTGCGTTTATTTCGGCAATCACGGCCCTGATATCCACCGTGGTGAACCTGGATTTCATGATTTTTTATTATATTTTTTTAATTTACACAAAAAAGTAAATTAAACGCGCGTACGATCACATTTGGAGCACATTTGTTTGAAAAGCTGAAAGAAAAACTCGTCCATTCGCCACGCATGCGCACTACAGTATTTATCTACGGAAGGCGAAACGGGCCAAGCGAAAGTGTCAGATCCACGCCTTTTTTCTTCTCCGGGGGGTGAATGTGGACAGATGCTTTGATTGATGGAATATTGAAGCAGGATTTTTTTTTAAAGAAATGTCATTGATAGACGGAGCGCCGGATTATTTTGCACAATAGGATCCTTATGTCGTGCTTCGTACCGGCCTCGGTGCGCTAAACATGCACTATTCAAAGTGGCTGATTGACATTAAAAACCGTGCAGCTCTGCGAAATGCAAAATGCAAAACACCCCGGACCGGCGACTCCAACAGCGGGGAGAGCGCGGACGAGGTGCCCGGGGACAGCCACACGGAGCCGGGCGAGAAGAACCCCGAGCTGACCAACCACCTCTGGACGGAAGGTAAGACAAACAAAAAAAACCTCCGCCAAGGCCCGTGGAGCTCCAGACTGTCGTGCCGGGGCTGTGCGGAGGTTTTCCCCGGTCACATGGAGCGGGTTTTTTAGCGGCAGGACGGTGACGGGAGGCGGGGAGAGGAGCGCTGCAGTTTCGGGTTCCTCCGCAGGTCACGGCGCGGGGCGAAGCGTGCTCCGTTACCAAGGCGACGGGCAGCTTAACAGGGCAGCGGGGAGAGGCGTGTATAAAACCTAGAGGGGAGGGTCTAAGGTCGCGCCGTGGAAAAATGCGGCGGCCATCTTGCGACTGCGGGAAAAGCGAAATTGTAATAGAATGTAATGTAAATACAAGACTAGAAATATAAATGATCAAAGGAAACCAAATGGACAAATACTGGTGTTTTTGAAGGCCCAGTAATGCAGAGAACGCTAGCTGTGTTTTGTCAGGACCTGCTTTAACAAAATACTTTGAATATATTATATACTGACAGTGTTGGGGAGTAACAGATTACATGTATCAGAGTTATGTAATCAGAGTACAAATTATGAGTAACTGTATTCAGTTACAGTTACTGTTTCAGTGAGCGGTAATTGGATTACAGTTACTTGGTTTAAATAAATGGATTACACAGAGGTATTTTCCTGTTTTCACATTTTGGGCTATATCCCTTTTTTTTTTTTTTTTTTTTCTCGGTAATTTCGCTTATTGCCGGACACTAAACCAGGTCTAAACCCAGGTCCAAACCAGGTCTTAAACCAGGTCTAAACCTAGTCTAAACCCAAGTCCAAACCAGGTCTAAAACCAGGTCTAGACCAGGTCTCAAACCAGATCTAAACCATGTCTCAAACAGGATTTAACAGGACTAAACCCTGCTGTGTGGACGTGTCTCCTCCTCTTCTATCAATAATATTTTTAATGTGGTTCAGTAAAGTCTGGACTTTTTATTTTCTTTTATCAGACAAAACATCTTATGTGAAGATTTCCTCGTCTTTGCTTCTCTACAGCAAATCAAGTAATCCAAAGTGTTCAGATTACGTTACTCTTAAAGTAATTTAATGGATTATGTTACAAACTACATTTTGGGATATGTAATCTGTAATCTGTAGGGGAATACATTTTAAAAGTCACCTTCCCAACACTGTATACTAATATGTCACTGACCAATATTAAATTCACTAAAGACACATATATAGCATATTAATACACTATCTATCTGTATAGACTCAAACATAAAAAATGGTTCTTTTTACCTAATTGAGATCCATTATAATGAAGATTTTTAGAAGCAAAAATGAAAGGAAAAAAAATCACATTGCATATTTGAACATAGACAAAAAAAATAACCAATTAACAATTTAAGACAAGACGCTGCAGATAAATAAATAATAATCATCATATGTTTTATTTATATTGCACTTTACATAAAATAATCTCAAAGTGCTACATGTAAAAACAGTGAATAAAAGTGCATCAGCATAAAAGTGCATCAAGCTAAAACTATTACAGTGCACAACATAGAACCAAAAAAATAAAATAAAATACAACTAACAAAAGGCTTTGGTAAAAAGATACATTTTAAGTAAATGGGGGGGGAAAAAAGTTGAACTGAATCTTCTTCTGTGGTTTACTTTCATGAATGGAATAAAATGCATTGCAGCTTCGGATCATGTAATATTTTCATACAAAATATGTGTAAATATTGACCAAATTGCACTGTGTTGGGACATTTAAATCTGAAAAATGCATAGTTTCTTGCATTTAATCTCTTGTTTAATTTAGGATATTTGAGTAATCTAGGTCTTATTGAAAACTGGTGTAATAATTCAAATTCTGCCTTTATTGTTCGGGGTTAAAACTTAGATCAGATTTACAATTAGATATCAACAATTCCTTCTGTACAATCTGTTAAAGCTTTGTTAAGATTGTAAAGTTTGGTGTGTGTAGGAGCTACTTTAAGGGGTGATCCTTGTGTCCCTACAGGAGAAAAATGCATTCCCAGAAACTTTTACGTTACATTGTTCAAATATCTATGGCTGCATGTTTATTCAGTGAACTAATAAAACCTCCTTTGGTGCAGATTGTACAATGATGAAGTCTTACATCAAAAGTGCAAAAAATGTTAATGTTAGTTAAAAATGAAAAAGATTTTTGCCTAACGTTGCTATAAAATTCGAGCCGTATTTGTGGTTTTCATCTTATTGCTATATGCACCACTTATGCAACTATTTTCCCCATTTAAAAGTTTTTTTTTGTTTTGATTTGTTAATCACCATGGCAACAGTCCTAATTTCTCATTCTGAAAGAGTCTTGCAGTCAGTACATGATCACTTTTGCTACAACTGTAATTGTTTACTGGTAGAGTGACCAGAATTTCAAAATAAAAAACTGGGACATCTCTGTTTTTTTGGTGGTTGGTAATAATAAAACTGTGAAACGAGCGCGTAATCAAGGAAACTTGTTTTGCTGAGACCATTCATGAGTAAGATGTGAGTCAGTATAATCACATTTTCTTTGTGTTTTGGTCTTTTTTCTGCTTTTCTGTATTTTACTTAGAGTGACCAGATTTTCAAAATTCAAAACTGGGACACACTCGGGTTGGGATGGTTGGTGGAAATAACATTTTGAAAAGAGCACATAACATTGTCCATTCTTGACTCATTTGTGGGTTAGTCATAATCTGAGGGACTTCTGTCGGTACCATTTTCAATTACAGTTTTCTGTGTTTTCGCTGAACACTTGACAATCTATCCATCCCTTTACTGTTTGTGGGTAATAAATTTGACAAAAATAGGGACAACTGAGACATTTCTTATATAAAACTGGGACAAATCACTGATGTTGGATAAATCTGCTGGGACAGGGGACACAAGGCTCAAAACTGGGACTGTCCCAGGTAAATAGGGACATCTGGTTACCTTACGCTTTCTTCTTTCTTTCTTTCTTTTTATTATTATTTAATTTATTTGTATTATTTATTTTTATGTTTAATCCATTATTATTATTATTGTTGCTGTTATTATTATTATTATTATTATTATTATATTTTTTGTTAGTCGCTATGGCAACAGTCCTACTTTCTCATTTAGAAAAAGTCTTGCAGTCAGGTAATGGTTATTTATTTATTATTATTTATTATTTATTTATTTTTTAAGTTTATTTTTATTATTATTTATTATTTTTATTTTATTATTATTATTATTAATAATAATAATAATATAATAATAATAATAATAATTACCAATTATTATTTTTTTATTTTTTAAGTGTATTTATTATTATTTTTTTTAAATTTTGTATTATTATTATTATTATTATTACTATTAATAATCATCATCATTATCAATTTATTTATTTATTTATTTTTATTTTATTTTATTTGTTAGTCGCTATGGCAACAGTCCTACTTTTTCATTCAGAAAAAGTCTTGCGGTCAGGCCATGGTTACGCTCTCCGTTGCCGCGGCTCCCTCTAGCATTATTTACACGGCACTGAGAGGGCACGCTAACGGGCTAAGCTAACCCCAGCTCCGGTGAGGACTGTCCGCCGTCGGGGACAGAATGCCGCGGGAAAGAGCGCACGGTCCCCCCGGTCTGTGGACATGGGCCTAGCGGGCGAGCGACAGACATGCGGGCGCAGCGGAGGGACGGCGGGATGCAGTGTGAGTGTGAGCCGGGGCAGGGGCTGCGCTGTGCGGGCAGAGCGGGCAGGACGCTCCGCTGTCACCCCGGAGGAGCGCGCCTCGTCCGCGGAACAACCGACAAGTTTAGAAGCTGCAACTTTGGTTTTCTTTATACACGTTTAAAATAGAGAAGTTTTTAAAAATAAGAAATGCTTTTGTCAGTGTAGGTAAATTATTAGATATATGACTAAAATTATGAGTTTATTTTTTATGTATTTGTTTATGTATGTATTAGGGATGAAGCGATAACCAGTGTTGGGAAGTTGACTTTTAAAATGTATTCCCCTACAGATTACAGATTACACACACCAAAATGTAGTTTGTAACGTAATACATTAAATTACTTAAAGTGAGTAACGTAATCTGAATACTTTGGATTACTTGATTTGCTGTAGAGAAGCAAAGACCAGGAAATCTTCACATAAGATGTTTTGTCTGATAAAAGAAAATAAAAAGCCCAGACTTTACTAAACTAAATTAAAAATATTATTGATAGAAGACGAAGAGACACGGTCCACGCAGCATGATTTAGTCCTGTTAAATCCTGTTTGAGACATGGTTTAGACCTGGTTTTAGTCCTGGTTTAGATCTGGTTTTAGACCTGGTTTAGACCTGGTTTAGACCTGGTTTAGACCTGGTTTAGACCTGGTTTAGACCTGGTTTAGACCTGGACCTTTTAGACCTGGTTTTAGACCTGGTTTAGACCTGGTTTAGACCTGGTTAGACCTTGGTTTAGACCTGGTTTTTTAGACTTTGGGTTTAGACCTTGGTTTAGTGTCCGGCAATAAGTGGAATTACCGAGAAAAAAACAGATATAGCCCAGAATGTGAAAACAGGAAAATACCTCTGTGTAATCCATTTATTTCAACAAAGTAACTGTAATCCAATTACCACTCACTGAAACAGTAACTGTAACCGAATACAGTTAGTCATAATTTGTACTCTG